GTGTGCATAAACAGAGGCAACATTGAAATCCCCTGTTACACAACAAATAGCCTTTTTTACCTTCTTGTGGAAATAGAGTGATTGACACAATATGCAGTAAAGATACAGAACTTCACAAGAAAAGACAAACAAGTCCTACTGTTCTTGAAATAAGTATGCTTCAACCTGATGGACAAATATTTACATATCCTCTGTTGGAACAAGGATCATTTGGATCTGAATTGATGGTGGCAAAGTGCTCCCAGATGCTTTTAAGTAGTTTGGGTCACTGTGCAGCCTGTATTTTATGGGTTTTGCATCCCAGCAGGAAGCCTGAAAGAGGGGCTGGACTGTGCGGCACTATGTATGCTGAAGTGCTCTGCCTTCCTAGCAGGTCCAAGGGAGGCAAGTCACAGATGGCTCAGATTCATCAGGGCTTCTGTTCCCTCTCTGCTAAGGCTGTGTTTGGGAAACTAGTGAGGCTGAACTCAGAGGACACAGATAGGAAGTAACAGTTCCCACTTACAGCACCCACTTAGAGTGCGTTTGGAAGGTAGCTGGGAACATTAATGGTAAGGAGAACTCGATTCTTACTGTGAATGTTATTCTGTATTGGAATAATCTTGTCAATTTCAGATATTACAGATTTTGGTGAACCTTCTAAAAGCAGCATATGGAAAAAGAAAAGAAAAGGAAACATTACCCTTCTTAAATGAAGCAAACTTAAAAATCCAGCATATTTTTGCACACAGTGCAAATAGAAGATTTTAGAACCCAAGAGGCTTTGATCTCTTACTAGGAGGTGTTTCCCCTGTTCTTTTTACAAGAAAGCGACCCGGAAATTTTCAGCTTATTGTAACTAAACTGAGAAAGGAAGGGATGATGACAATGAGGTAGAATAAATTCCTGTAAAGGAAACAGACTCAGTGCACGGCTAGAACTAGCCACAATTCTTATGACGTTATGTAGGATGTGCAAGTAAGATTTTGAGATAATTTCTGTTTAATTATATGGTTTAGCTCCGAATTTTAGCTGTCCCTACCCTGTCTGCTTGAAGGTGAGTTCATTTTATTGCCTTTGAGTGTGCATTTTAAAGTAAATTTGCTTTAACTGCTTGGTCAGACAAACAGTAGTGTCATTGTAAGTAGTTTCATTAAATATCCTTTTCCATTTTGCAGACATGGTAAAGCTTTTTTTCATCTCCTGTGTGGCTATTACTAATCTTAGTCCTAGAATCAGATTATGCTTGCCTTTCCATTGATATGAGTTGAATACAAGACAGAGAAATTGATAGCTTTAATGGTGAATCAGAATTGTATGATGGTATGATTGTAGTATGCCACACTTTACTAGACCTCAGAGGCATCATGAAGCATGGCACAGTTCTCAAGAAACTGACTTTGACTTTTTGGCTTATATTTTATATAAAAAGATGAAGAAGAAGAGGCTGAAAGGAGACCTCATCACAGTGTACAACTGATGTCTTCACTCTGGTGACCAGTGACAAGACCCAGGGGAATGGCCTGAAGTTGTGTCAGGGGTGGTTTGGGCAGGATCTCAGTAAAAGGTTCTTCACCCAGAGGGTGGCTGGGCACTGAAATGGGCTCCCCAGTGAAGTGGTCACAGCACCAAACATGACAGAGTTCAAAAAAGGCTGGGCGTTGGACTCGATGATCCTTACAGGTCCCTTCCAACTCAGCTTACTCTGTGATACTGTGAAAACTCTATGAAATAGAAATGTACTCTTTTCTTCTAACAATCCTTTAGGAGTTGAAACACAGGCAATATAATACAATTCCTATTTTTCACTTGCATTTTTTTAGCACAGGAAATTATGTGAAGACTGCTTTAATTTCCTTTGTATATACGATACTTTCCAATTAAGTGGCACCCTAAATCCCTAGACTAAGGATATGATAATATGGCTGTGTACATGGCAGGAGAAGGTAGAGAGACTTTTGATAATAAGTTGCCTGGAGTAGAGTCCTTTCTTTCTCTGGTAGATACTGATAAAGAGAAATGAGTCCTTGAGTAAACCAAGTCACCAAATCACCTGAGTCCACCTGCAGTGTAAATACACCTGAATGGTGATTGTTGTCTGCTTCTGCTGTGAATGTCCCTGTTCCTGTCAAGCACACTTGCAAGATGACAACTATTAATTTCACATTCTACCATACTTTTTAAATATAACAAAAATGCAAAGATTACAAGATTCTCTAATAAAAATTATTAGTTAGCAAAAAAACCCAAACCAAACCAAAAACTGGCAGTGGTGTGTTTTTCCATGCCTAGCTAAAGACAGTAGAAAAATTAGAAAGATTGCTAATCAAAGCTGTAACGTTCACTAGTCAACCTTCCCTTTGGCACTTCTTTCCCATTTGGGATGACCTTTGGGAGCTCAAAGATGCATCATTAGTATGGCAGTAAATTGCAGAACAAAGAGTTTATCCATCACTGGTACAATTTAATGCTTTGTGAACAGTCACTTCTTTAGTTTCACTACATGTGGCCTGTATGTCCCCAGTTACACACAAATGGAAGCTGGGAAGTAAATGCTTCCACTGCTTATCTTGTGCCAGGTCAGGCACTCTTCAAATAGCTTCTGGTGGTTTAACAGCTTAATGAGACACCAGGAAGGATCAGAGCTGTCACAGGAGCGAGACTGGACCATTTACTGGGAGTCAAGGGAGAGTGGAGTGCAGAGGACAAAGAAATAGATCATAAAATCATAGAGTAAGCTGAGTTGGAAGGGACCCATCAGGATCATTGAGTCCAACTCCTGGTCCACACAGGACACCCCAAGAATCACACCTTGTGCCTGAGAGTGTTGTCTGAACACTTCTTGCTCTGTCAGGCTTGGTGCTGTGACCAATTCCCTGGGGAGCCTGTTCCAGTGCCCAGCCACTCTCTGGGTAAAGAACAGTTTCCTGATATCCAGCCTGAACTTCCCCTGACACAGCTTCCTGCTGTGTTCCCAAGTGATGTTTTCATTCATGAGGATGAAAAGATCAGTGCTTGCTCCTCTGCTTTTGGCAGCAGCAACACCTGCTCAGGGGACTGACTACAGGACTGAACCACACAAAAGGCCCTTGGGTTTGGATTGCTACTGGCACCAGCATGCCTTTGCCATGTGGGCTATTGGATGACATGACTCAAAGCACCATTCTTGGTTTTATACAGAATTAACATGGCTAGAGATGTAGCCTCAATGAAAGACTTGAGCAAGGTCTTCACAGGTGTCATAAACCCAGATTCAAGAGTCAGGATCCATTGATCTTTTTGCAGTGGATAAGAAAGTTAGATAAACTTATGGAGTGTTTTTGCCAGTGCTGGTAGCACACTCACTTTATTTAGACATACATAGAGGCTTGGAGTTTCAGAATGATTTTAAAAGATATGTGGGGTGATGACAGTTGGCAGCCAACCTGTAACAAAGCACCAGGATGGGGTCAGATAAATTAGTTAACTTACTTCCTGTGACCTCTGAGCATAAAAATAGATCATTCCATTCACTTGCAAGGAATAGAGACATTCTGAAGAGAATGGTGACTAGAAGTGCTCTCCTCTGCACAAAACAGCTGCCTGGAAAAGTGCAGCGTGGGAGTTATCATTGCCTCTCTCTCTAGCTCAGCGTGCACTGGTTTCTCTGTTGATGCTAACCAGTATGACTGGTGTCTGATTTGCATGAGGTGCCAACAGACAAGGGACTAGCCTTTGCCCAAACTCTTTGCTTTTCCCTTGGGCTGACTCAGTGCCTCTCTGACAGCATTGCAAATGCAGAGTCACTCTGTGGCCAACGGGAAGAAAAAAAACCCTTTGAGGGCTCTGTTGCACAATGAACTGCTGCACAAATTGAACAGCAGCAAAGTATATGCCCTTTACACCTGAACCAGGCACTCCAGACATGCGTTGGATATGTCCTTACTAAATACCAAATTAAGCCATGCACACTGGGCAGCCTGTGGCTGAGAAAGCTGTGGGATGCAAATCAGACTTCTTAGTAGAAGAGGGAAAATATAACAATATGGTTTGGGGTTTACACCTTGTACAGAGTCCTGTCATATAGGGGTCTGGATGCATCTGAGTGCTTTGTGGACCTGCTCCAAATCCCCAGAGTGTTTCCAGTCTCAGTTTACAAGGGCAGCACACAGAGCTGGTCCCTCATGGTGGTGTGGGTGTTACCCTGCCCAGCAGGGCTCTGCCACGGTTCTTCAAGCAGTGGAGCACAGCACTGTAGTGCAAAAGTGACACCTGATGCTGCACACCCAGGTACACCATGGAGGAGGAAAAGGGGTTTTAGATTGCTCTGCTGGCCCTACTAGACATCCTAAATATGCCCATTTTGTCTGGTAACAAAGCCTGCTAGGAGCAGGTCTCTTGGGTGAGAGAGAACCAAACATGTGCCCACACAGGACATGCTTTAAGAGCTTCACTTCTGCATGGTTTCCAGTCTCATGGGCTCAGTGTTGCTTGCAGCTGCAGCACATCTTCAGATTTGGTTTAATCCCAAAGGAATCAAATCAACTCACCCTGGGCCTGTTGGTCTTCAAGCTACAACAGTGCTCCATAGATTTTTGGTGTCATTTATGCCTGTCTCAGACTGTTGTGATGCCTGCTAATGATAGGCCTCATTAACTGAAGGCTGATGATAGTTGGTTTCTTACCTCTCATCTTAGAGAACATGCTCCAATCAAAAGAGGTAGGATCTGCATTTCCACTCCAGAGGTGGAGTTCTGCATTGCTGTAGATATGACTTGGAAATCCATCTGTAAGCAATTCTATTCAAGATGTATTTAGAGAGACCGTTGCATATTCTTGAGTATTATCCATCCTGTATTACTCTGAAATAGTGTGACCAGGAAAAGTGCTGCAAACCCCATTTAAAAAAAAAACAAAAACACAATATGCAGGAAATAGTGTTTGCAAAGTTTTATAGAGGTACACAATGGAATATGCAATGATCTATTTTATTGGACTCTGATTTACAAAAAAACCCTGTTTTTCTCTTTTACAGGAAGGAAATGATTCTTAAAGAAAATGTCTCAGAATATCAACCAAAACTGATAAAGAAAATAATGCTCATTTTGTGCTGGATACTAACATTTTTTGTCAGTGGGGTAGAAGTTAGAGAGATTAACTTGCCAGGTAAGAATCTGCTCCAGTGATGTTTGGTGTTTGTGGTACTTTCTGAAAACTTAGAAAAGGAGATCTTCATTTTTCCTTGCTTTTGTGAGTTTTTCCTGCACATGTTCAAGCTTCTGAAGTATTGGTAATACAACACACCCTAAATTTGACTCAAAAGTCAGTTCCCCAATGAAAAGAATAAATGTAAAGGAGAATCTCTGAGGTCCAAATAGAACAAATTTATTTCTTCTGTGACTTAGGTCTCCAGAATCTGGTCTAGTGAGGCAGGGACTGGGGAGAAGGGACGCAAAAGCAGAAAGAGACTGATTTATCAAATTCTTTCCACACACATGATATATCTGGAGGAGCTTGATCCAATTTAGTGTGCAGAGAGAAAATGAAACAGTAAAGAGTTTCCCAGGTGGACAGGTGAGGAACAGATTTCATGACCTCCCTTCTGCTGGACTGAAATCCTGCCATACTTTCAAAGGTCACAACAGCCTGACTGGCAGGTGGGGAGTTAGGATGGCTGACCATAGCTTTCAGAATAAAAAAAAAATAAATATAATTTTAGACACAATTACTGAAACATAGGAGGATAAATATTTAAAATCAGTGAGACAATAATTGTCAATTTTACCTTAAATAGGGCATGTTGTGGCCAGATTCTGCTTCCTCAGGCTTATGTCAGCCCCTTCTCCATTAGTACAAGGAGATTGATAAGAGGTGTGTCTGCTTTTCTACGGAGTTGAGGTTTAACAGGTTAGCACTCATGCAAAAGTCTGCACATCACAAAAACTCTTCACATTAAGCTTTTGAAAAAGGCCTAATAAACATTTGGACACTGTTGAATAAATTTTCAAGAACATTGGCAAATTACATATTTAAGAAAACCCATTTTTTATTAGTGCATCTTCTGATCACATAAATAAATATTCAGCACAAGAAAGGTAAGGTTCTATTTTTATAGTGTCCCTGATTTTTATTTTTAATTTTTTCATCATGACTCTGCGTTCTTTCAGATGGTACTGATGTCTTACTGTCCTGCTTTTCAGGATGTTCCCATGTTGAACCTCAAATATGGTACCGTGCAATTAATGATGAGGAGTTTGTTCTACAATGTGCTTTGCCAGATAGAGATGCTACCAACATTTATAACAACTCACTTCTAAATCAGCATAAGGTGAAGTGGTTCTGGCACCAGAAAGATAAAGAGACACTGAAGGCTATCAAGGAAAGTTCAGATTTGGCTTTCCAAGGGGATGCACTTTGGTTTAAACCAATTAGAGACAGTGCTTCTGGAGTGTACATCTGTAGGATATGGTAAGTAATGGAGCAAAAGAGTAAGTAATGGAGTAAAGGAGCAAAGGTTTCCATTTCTATAGGAGAATTACTGTTTTGTATTGGTTTGTGTATTAAATGTTAAACTTTCTTCAAATTTTTTTAATATCATTCAGGGGAAAAATCCCATGTCTCAAAATTGTTTTGGATGTTCAAACAAAGAAGGCAGCAAAATGTTCAGGTTATGACACAAATACGGTATATCTTCTTGCTGGCAGTGGAAATTCAATAACCTGTCCTGGGACAAAATGTTACAGCCACATAAAAAAGCCAGATGTGAAATGGTACAAGGTAAGAGTCGGTCTACTGAGTATTGAAAACAGCTGAGTGTAGGTGGAGTTTCAGATCTAGTTAATGTCCATGTGCCATAGTTATTGAACTCTTCTGTGGCAGGCAATGCAGCCTGAGAAATTAAACTCAAAACTAGAATCTTGAACTGGTACATATCAAGTATTTAAGGAAAAGTATTGAAGAAATCTGCCACACCCAAAATATTCTTAGGTGAAACAGAAGCCAAGAAATGCTTTCTCTTCAGCTAAGAAATTGAAGTAATTGAGAATTAAAATGTTTTTAACAAAACTGACATGATTTAAATGTAACATTTTTTGTTTTGACATTTCAAATTTTGAGGATATCCAATATACCAAAGAAAACCTGGCTTTGTTTGACCCAAAATTAGCTTAAGAATAATTGTTCTTTCCAGACTCCTGTTTTTAATGAAACACTATTCCACTGAACCATTACTGACTCAGTGTTTGTAAGGATGGTAATATAGCATCCAAATGAGCAAAGGAAAATTACTAAAATTTGCTACTGTGCATTTTCCTGCCTGGTATTATTTACATTATTTTATTTTATCAAGTAGAATTATGATCTAGTCAAAGTTAATCTGCATTTGCTTAAGACATTTAAATGAGGTTTATCTTTACCTACATCTTGATCTGAAGCCCACTGAAGTTAATGAGCTTCTTCACATTTGCGTTTCTGGATTTTTCCGGAACTCAATTTAAGGAAAGTTCTTGCTGGTCTCAGTGGAATATTAAGCTGAAAAATAGGGGTGCTTTTCAAAAAAGAGAACATTCTCATACTTCTAAAAGTAGGTTCTCAACCTCAGACAATCCAAACTTTTTTTTACTCCTAATAAAATAATTGAAAATGTTTTCAAAATTATTTCTTTACAAAATAAAAATACCTAGTCCATCAAAAAAGTGATCCTTATTGTTGCTCTTTAGTAATAGGAGATTTAGATTAGCTTAATGATTTAATATTTTTGCACCAACTCTAAATTTTAAATAATTTTTAAAAGGTCAAGGTTATTCACATATTTTTATATGTATAACTGAAAAATGTCCTCAGACTCCTAATACATCCCTTTTTGGGCTTCAGTGTAAAGATCTTGGTTTAGCCCTTTTGCCATGAAAATTCTGTCCAAATATATTCAAATATCATTTAATAACAGCAACAACAGCAAGAAAAAAACCCCAACTTTAATTCTTTGATTTTTTTTTTTTTCATTAGGATGGTCATCAGATAAAATACAGGAAAAGCAGACCAAGCCTAAAGCTTAAGCAGAATGAAATCTACTTGAATCCAACCTATGACAAAGATGCTGGAATATATGTGTGTGATTACACTCTGTCTGAAAACATTACCAAGTGGACAGTGAGAACAGCAGTAACAGTAGAAGTCATTGGTGAGTAATATAATAACTCAGAATAAAATACCTGAAGTATGTTTTCTTTATTATGTTTGTCTTCTGTTCAGGCTCTTATTCTGAAAAATCCATAAACTTAATTAGCTACAGGATCATTAAAATCCTCTTCCAAGTACTCTAAGGACATCTTGGGACACCAACTAGAACATCCAATTGTAATAGCAGTGGGTCCTGTAGGAAAGTGTAAATCTATTCTATATCCTGCACTGTATGGATTCAGTACAGCTGCTTCTGTATGAAAACAGCACAGGACTATTCTTCAGCATCCTGGTAGATGGTAGGTCACTATGGGGAAGGGAGAACAAGATTTAGGGAGCAAAAGAAATGTGTCAAGTGAGGCAACCTGGTTCTATGATCTAGTGAGGAAACACTCCTTTGAAATTCCATGGTCCAATGAGGATAGCACTTCTCTGAAACAGGTGATCCTTTTCCCCCCAGGTATTTTAAGCATTTGGTTCTAGGAATTCAAGGGAAAAATGTATCCATTCCATCAAGACAGGAAACCATGTCTTACCAACCTGTGAGAGCTCTGGGTGGTGGCCTAAAATACCTCTTGCTCTTCCGCTCTTCCTTCTGGCTTTATTCCCATAATATTCTCCAGGCAGCCTTGGACTAGTTCTGCTTTTATTCTGATCTGTCTGTATTTGAGGACACATTGTCCTTCTCAGTTCTTTTCCCTCACTCCCTGGTGCAGTCAGGAAAACACTTAAAAGGTGCCATATGGATCTATACTGCCCCAGAACCTTCCAGATGGAGGGGAGACCTCCTTGAAGTTACAGCTTCCATGTGAGGGGAAGAGAAGAGGCAGGCACTCATCTCTTCACTGTGATGACCAGGAACCTGAGGAAATGGCCTGAAATTGTGTCAGGGGAGGTTTAAGTTGGATATTAAAAAATAGTTTTACACCCAGAGGGTGGCCAGACACTGGCATAGGCTCCCCATGGAGCTTAGGGTCCCTTCCAACTCAGCTTGTTCTGTGAGACATTTCTCTGCTGTGGCTTGGTAAAAAGAAAAAAAAAAAAAAGAAAAGGTGTTTTATGGTACCATTTCCTGCAGTACGGGACTTTCCTAGAATATCAGAGCTGTGGGTTTTATTGTACATCCCGTGGGTGTCATTATCTGTGCCCCTTGGCAGCCTGAGTTTCAAAAACAACTTGGCTATTTTGGTACAAGTGTCTGTGCTCGTGAATGGGGTGTGCATGTGCTCTGTTTGTGCTTACTGGGCATGAAAAGAGGGTTGACAGGGAATTGGTATGAGGATTTCACCCTTCAGGGGGTTTTTCAAGGGAGGTTCCTAGTTTTTTAATCCTTAATTTAAAGTGCAGGCTAGTTGCTGAACTTCTCAGCTCATGTAAGAGGACAGTGCCTCAGAGTAAATGACATAGCAGGTTTTTGAGTAGCTACGCAAGTTTTGTTGTCATCCTCTTGGACCTAGGTGTCTAAATTCCACCTAAAACTTGAAAAATTAAATGTTAAGCTATTTTCTTTGGTCTTCTGCACTGAAAATAACTTCGTTATTGTTATAATTTGTTAATTGCAGCAAAAAACACTATTCATCCACCAAACCTTTTGTATCCCAATGGTGTTGTCATCCTCGAAGTAGAAGTTGGTAAGTTTAAATTCCTTCCCTAAAAGCAAATGAAAGTATTTAAATGAGGTATTGATAAATAATGATAACGCAAATCAGCTCTGCTTTCTAGGCTATTTAAGAGAATAATATTCTGCAGGCATTGTTTCTCTGCGTTCATTTGTTCCAGGCAAGCCACTTGAATTGGAATGCCGTGTACAGTTTGGGTTTGAAACAATTTCTCCAATGAGGGTAACATGGAAACGAAACAACGAAGAGAATGTAAGTGAGAAATTGAATCAGAAAACAAGGTGAGAACCTCCTCCCCATCCCCCCCAGTAGTCCTGTTACTACCACCACAAGCAACTGCAAAAAGCCTTCTACAACACCTTTACTGAATAAGTTTTATTGAAAAAACTTTAGGAGGCTCTTTTCTTTCACCTAATAATGTATCTGTCCATGAGCAAGTGACCGGCATGTGACCTCCACATACAGAAGCACATATTGATGGCCATAAAATCAAGAACTCAAACTCTGCATAATCTTAGCTCTTAAAACTTTAGCTCATAGACAGCTTCAACATGAAGGGTTCTTGGATGCCTGTCCCCTGCATCAGTTGCTTTCAAGCGCTCTTGTTCCCAAGTGTTCTTGAAAGCACGGTCTCTGTTGTGCCTTGCTAGCAATTCACACAATCTGTCTTGGGAAGCTGTCTCTGAGTGGGGAATGAATCAGAGCAGCAAACCAGCACTGTGGACATTGAAAGGAGTTTGTGTGTCTCAAACATCAGACTGGGTCTGAGGATTAGCAGCACTGAATTTCAGGACACTGAGTTCTGTGACTCCTCTCTGGTAAGAATTAACCAGACCCTGCTGAGAAGAAACATGTAGGGGAAAGATTTCCTGTGACCTGGGGACAACCCCTGTAGTCATCATGCTTCCCTTTCCTTCCTGTTTTCATTCACTTATGCAGGGTTCTACTTGGGCAAGCAACAGAGTAGAGGCAACACAGTGTGTCTTTCACCACACAGCCCTGAGGCAACTTTATGGGTAAACTTTCTGTACACTGGAGGAAGCAAAAGCCCTGCTGTCACTGCTAAAATCAAGCTCATAGTAGGAGTCATATGGGGAAAAAAAAAGAATTATGGTATCACACACATACTCATGAGGTAGACTGGAAATTGCATTTTCCTAACTTTAGAATGTTTAGATTTGGAATATTCTAGTTAACAAGATTTTAGCTTTTTTAATGGGTGGAGTTTTTTAATGGGTAGAGTTTCTGTTTAATTTTTAAAATACAAAATTAAACATCCCCAACAGACTTTGGCTGAATCCTTGCCTATGTTCACTCCTACTCTATCTTGAGGTAGCAGAGGTAGAGCCATGGGATACTGCCATTTTACAGCAGCATGATGTGAGATGCCTTTTGGGATGACTCAGAGATGCTTATACTTGTGGATTTCAATGGGGAATGCAAAAACTCAGAAGCCCTGGGTATTCTGGAATGGTTGCAGACACAGATCTGTTTCCCATATCCTTCACTCAGTCCTGAAGGGATTCCTCAGTTACCTCTTCATTTCCTATACTTCTGTCCCTTATATCTATCTTGTTTGCCTATCATGTCCTTGGGCTTTTTACCCCTATGCAAGAGGCTGAGCTGCTCTGTCTTTTCCCCAGCTAGTTCTCTCTTGGGGTTCCTTTTTGAAATTTCATTTATCTGCATTTCTTTCAGGCAAATATTTTACATCTTAGAAAACCATATGTAATCTTACAGAAGTAAAGGGGACTATACATTGAAAACTAGGCAATTGGTAAATATTTTGCTGAGTAGATGAACTAAGGATAAACCTTCCAGTCTTCAGGCCTATCAAAGTATTTTCTTACAATGTTAGTATTTTCTTACCATGTATAAACCAAGTGGAGGTTCCAAACCAGGATATTGCATTTAAAGTTCAAGATGAATATTAAGAAGTTGCAAGCTCTTCTGTTCTTTGGTGTAAGACATTGGGAAATTGTGTGAATGAACAGCAAAGATATCATGCATTTATACACATTTTCCTCTCTCTAGTGTCTATCCAAAAGGTTTGAAGGGACACACGCTTCTTCATGTTGCAACACTGAAGGAAGTTACTGAAAAGGACCTCAGAAGCAACTTTACATGCTTTGCTGAGAATTCAGTGGGGAATGCCACTGCTGTGATCCAACTGAAAAGAAAGCAGAGAGGTAAAGCAATCAACTGGTGACTATTTGCCCCTGAAGACACATTTAGGTTTACTCTACTGCTACTAATTAATTCCCCATTGACACTGGCTTTTAGCCAACAGCAGAAGTTTCTGGAACCTGGGTGGGAAAAGTCTGACTTGTCAGATGTCTTGTAAGCCACAGTGTTTTGAGGATTACTCAGAAGGACGGGGCTATCTGGGGACTTAGTGCAGACAGGTGAGCCAAGTGCAAGTTAGAGAGTAGCTGGAAGGAAGGAGGGTGTCATCTCTGAACATTAATAGGCAATCTACTAAACTGAAGCAGAGAGGCTGCTGAAAGCAGCAGTATTCCCTGATTTTCATAGGTTATTTCTGTTTATTTTCCCAGTTATTAGCATGCATGTTTCTGAGAAGTTACCATATCTGATATGAATGTGGCACCCCTCCAAGTCTTTCATGGCCCAAACCAGAATCAGTGTGGAAATTAAAGCGTTAAACCACAGTTCACAGTGGAGGTTTATCGCTGGAATGCAACAGGAAGCTGCCAGAAGGGCACTGTGTGCAGCTACATCTGTTCTGATGTAGCTTTTCCATCTCAAGTGATGACTGTTTTCAGCATTGCTGAGAGTACCAGAAACTCTTTTCTCTGTGCTTTCTGTCATAGGTTGGCTTTTCATGCCTCCAAAGAGGTGCCATGCAAAAAAGGTCACTGATGATAGACTGAAATTCTATGTTAAGGTTTGTGGCTACAGGAAATCTTGACTTCCCTAAATTTTGCCAGTGGGATAAGAAAAAAGATTGTAAGATGGTTTGTCCCCATTTATGGACTGATTTTCTTATCTAAGTGTCAATATTATTTTGGAAACTTGAGTTACAGTAGACTCTTTTCTTTCTGCAGTGTTGTTCTTATATGTACTATGCAGTGCCATTTCTACTCTATTTGCATTTGTTTTGTGCACTGCCTTTATTTACCAGCACTGGATTGAAATAGTGTTGATGTATCGAAGTTATCTGGTCCACAACAAAAGTACAGAAGGTAAGAAACCTTGTATAATATTAATTTGCTCCAGTTTTTCTACTGCCTTTTGCCATGTGGGATAATCTGGTATGAATTACTCATTTAATTAAATTCTTTAATGACCGTGTTCTCTTTGAGCCAATACAAAGACTCTTAAACCTTGCAAGATGCTCAGTGAATGCAGATGGAAAAAAAAGTCAGATAGTGTGAAAGAAATATCTAACACCAACAGAAATGTCAGTTAGACTTTTATCCTAACTTACCCACAGAAGATTAGAGTAGGAAGTTGAATTTTGGCCACCCATTTGTAGGGAATAATTTAGCATCTCCAAAATTTCAAAATCATTCTCTGAAAAAGTTCAACAAAACCTTTGAAGAAGAATAAAATGACCTTACATAACAAAGTGAAGGACACCAGGATCTATTGTATTTTTCAATTAAGTCAAAAAGTTTCTCAGAAGAATAAACAAAAGAGAGAAATAAGATTATAAACGGCACCAATTGACAAATAAATGTTTGGGAAATATTCATATTTCCTTTCTAAAATCTTTGGAAACAACTTGACATTTGCACCCGAGTAATTAGCTTTTGATTTTTCAAGTCTCTGTAGAAGCATTGCCCCATCATTTCAGCTAAAACAGGCCCCTGAAATAGACAGTGTAAAAATGTATGAGGAATCACTATGAGTACTTCCAAGAACTTAATGTATTATTTTCTTACATGTGTTGAAAGAATTCTAGTTTGTGCCTGAGAAAATTTCTCAAAAAATTCTTGTGTCTTGATGCAGTGCAAGATAGAGGTGTCTGAGTCTGTTTTTGTGTTTGTAAATGTATCTTATATGTGAGTGTGAAACAACTGGGTCTAAATACCTGTAAGTACATGCACAATTAGAAAATTAACTGCCCTTTTGGAAAATATTTTTGCAAGCACTGAAACATTTGGCAAAAGCAATTTGGGAAACCACTCAAAATTTCCCCTCTGGTAACAAGGTGATTTAAGGACCTGTGGAAAGTCCCTTGAGAGCTCACCCTGCGTGTCAGTGGGACAGAGACAGACCTGCCAAGGCCCGTGCACTAAAGTTGAAGACACAGTTGGGTTCCACCTTGGCAGTCCCTGTCCCCTCCCTGTCCCCTGCCTCTCATGTACCTTGTGCACACAGCAGAGTGGGAGTAGGGGGGATGTGCAGACCAGCTGTGCGTATCCAGGGAGTTTTCTGCCCAAGGAAAATGTGCTCTCACCTGCAGGATTATGTCCTTCTCACTTTGTGTGCATGCATATCAAGTCTCCTGAGGTCTGAAGACTCTCCTGAGTCTCCTTAGAGCAGCAAAGCAGCAGTTATGACTTGATTTTGCTGTTTCTTCCTTTCTATCATTTATTCTCTCGTGTTCCTCTCAGTACAGAATCAGACAATTGAAGAATTCTGCAAGATTGGAAAGTACCCTGGGCACCTGCTCAGAGCAGAGCCAACTTAGGTTGTGCAGGACCTTGTGGGCAGAGGAACCACAACCCCTCTGGGATTAATTTGCCTCCCTGTCCAATTCAGATATATCTCTTAAAATTCCTGCCTTCTTCCAGAAAGAAATACTGCAAGAGGTTTGATACTAACATTTATAGAACATGGATGCCATCACTTTGCTTAAGTCAGGCATTCTTCACTTCCTACAAATTCAGCATCTTAAATACAGTATCAAAAGTTCATTAGCTTGTAATTTTCCTGTACTATTATGTAAAAAAATGGCTTAATGGTGCTTATTTTGTATTTGTTTTGAACTTTCTATTGTAATAGTAGAAGTATAAAGGGGTTTGTTTGTTAGTGTCTTTTGTCTAATAAGATTGCAGTGACCTCTGTGGGTGAAATGAGGAATATCTGGCTTGCAATGCAATTTATTGTCATTTAAAATCTGTGTTCAATGGAGCTTCAATTCAGGCTATAGAAGAATTTAAGTTCAGCTAAAACTGAACTAGTGATCCTCTGGCCCACCTTTAATTCCCACATTAGTCCTGTGTGCCTACTGCTGGTGATTCACTCTTGTGGGCCTCAACTGGCTCAACTTGGCAGAAAAATAACTCAGTAAAAGACAGTGTGTAGCCAGCAAAAAGAATCATCTTCCTTTAATATCACAAGAGCTTCAGCACCAGTAGAAGGATGTGACTGAAAGTGTGTGTCCAGGAGCAGAGGGGAGGACAGAGATGCAATGTGTTCTGTCTGATCACATTCTTGGCCTCCAAACCTAATCTGCACACCTCTGTTCTGTTTTGATGACATGGTTTCTGCTATGTGCTGGTTCTGAATTTAAGTGTTCAGCCCCAGCTCATCCATGTTAGTTTTCTGAATCTGCCTTACATACAGGCTCTTCTAGATCTGTGGGAACTTGGTGACTCCAGCTTGTGTCTGTGATCATAATTTTACATCTAGGGATAGAAATCAGGAGGTTAACACCAAGGCATGTGGGTCATGACACTCAGCAGTTAGGTGTCTGTGCTGGATGCAGGGGAATTTCTCTGGTTTCTATTCATTATATTGTCGTGTGATACAATTCAGCTAATTGAACAAAGTTGTCTGATGTAATTTAGGCTGCCTGAGGATGTCCTGCCATGCCAAAATGTTTGAGTCTCCAATATTTCCTCTGTCAAATCTGGTAGTCTTAGGATACCTTAAATGGCCTCGAGTAACTGGGAAACTGATCTGGGTCCACTGTGCCTTTTGATTTCACCAGAGATTGTTTTGTGTTCCTTCTCCTTCAGGTGTAGTTTAAAGTTTATTCAGCAAATAGATACAATTTGCTTTTTCCTCGTAGTTAAGAATGGGTGTTACTCAGGACATTGGTACAAGGGTGATCAAAGCTAAGAAAAATTCCTTACCTATGTTTTATCTGCACTGTACAAATGTTCTTTTAAGGAGACTTAAAGTTCAATAACTGGTCAGTACATGGTGTCTAATTGATATTTTGATCAAACTTAGCCTTTGTTCCTTACACAAGTCTCTCTGTTTACAAGCATAACAGTGTATGAAAACAGCACATCTTTTGCAAACATCTAATATTCAAGAACTTTGTTCTTTTAAGCTTCATTATATTTTGAAAGAAGATTGTCCATTGACAAAATATTTTTTTTTTTTTGAATCAGCATTTGGCAAATGAGAGAAAAGACTGGAAATCATTCCCTACCACATGGCTTTTGCCTGGAAGGGGCCAAACCTTTAAACTACCTTGCAGTAAACATCTCTAGCTTCCTTGTTTACTTTGGTAGCCTATGTCTACAAAATTTGCAAGACAGGGAGGAGAAAGGTTGTCTTTGGTGACTGGATAGCTGTAATCCATAAACAGGTCATAATTTTAGGTTTGTGTTGTGCCTACTTAAACAGATATAAATGGAAAGAGAGCATCAAGAAAGAAGCTGAATGTTTCAGCCTGACTTGTTAATGTATATAAAGTATATATATACTTTAGTATATATAAATATATAAATATTTATAATATATAAAGTATATATTTTATATAAAATGTATTTATATAAAATATAAATGTATATATTATCTTATTAATTCATTAATTTATTAATTTATTTTAGATGGCAAAGAATTTGATGCATTTGTGTCCTATGCAAAACTAAACTCTTCTGAAAGTGACTCTGCTTTAATTAGTGAGGAAAAATTTGCCCTCGAGCTTCTTCCAGATACGCTAGAAAATAAATATGGATACAAGTTATGTATTCTTGAAAGAGATATTCTTCCAGGAGGAGGTAAGGTCCTTGGGCATGGTAGAAAATCTTCAGTTTTTATAAAGTTTTGTTTCGCTTTCAAAAAAAAAAAAAAATTATGAGCCAAAGCAACAAATTGTATAATTAGGTAATGGAATTTATGTTCAATTCTAATAATGTTTTGATCTTTGTGTCTGGTCCCTGCACCTGATGCATACATACTTTGGAGTGAAGTCACTGTGAGCTACTAGGGTGAGACAAAGCTTCTTGTGCAAGAATTTCTTTGCAAACAGACTCCATTCCCCAGGAAGAAGACTTCAAATATTTCAGTAGCTACTTTCTGAGCAACTTTAGCCAGTGCTACCTCAGTAATTAGAAAACCTGTGTATCTGTTCCTGGGAGAGATAAAGACAAGTCCAAGTGTCCCCTGAGACCCTGTTGAAGTGTGTTGAGGTTTCAGTTCACTGAGAGTGCCCTTTTTGTCTTGAGCAGAAGGTTGTGTTCTTCAGTTGTATAAGAGCAGCCATGGTACCCTCTGATAGCAAACACATTTCTAGGTGTTATGTGATTACTCAGCATTCCTGTTCTTCACTTTCATTATTTCTGGGTGTTAGCTGTTGATAGAGGAACTGATAAGATGAAAACTCCTTTGCAGAATGCAATAACTCTCACTGTTTCCTCTCCAGCGTACACAGATGAAGTTGTAACAGCTATTAAACAAAGCAGACGGGTAATAATTATTTTAAGCCCAGCCTATGTCAGTGGACCAAGCATCTTTGAATTGCAGGCAGCAGTGAACTGTGCATTGGAAGATAAAGGGATCAAACTGGTATTAATAAAGTTCCAGGATTTCCAAGAGCCAGACACTTTGCCTCCAGAAGTGAAGAAAGCACTTCGGATTTTACCAGTTGTTACTTGGAAGTCTTCCATTTCTGCTGCTCCACACAAGAAGTTCTGGAAATACATGTGTTACCACATGCCAGTGAAAACTACTAAGAGGCTGGAAAATTGCAGCCTCAAGGGCTTATGCCAAAGGTTATTCAGACTGGTATACTGATAGGAGAAATTTCCCAGTGGGATGACATCAGGCTCAGGAGTGGTAACATGATTGTCAAAGACCTTTTCTGTGTCATCTGACCTCTGTCAACTGACACTACAGCCAGCAATAGCTCACTCCGAAACAGTCAGAAAGACTGAAGTGTGACAGTGCACAGCAAAACACTGCTGCTGCACACAACTGTAACTGTCTTTCATAAATTATTATTTTGTTAACATTTTTATTATATTTATTACATAATTTTGCTCTAGTTTTGAGACATACAATGTTCTTTGCTCTGTATTTCTTCCTGGAATATTTTTACACTTGTGTTCTAGAAAAAGATCAAAAAAAGGGAACCCCAGAGGAAGCTTGCAGTTTAATTTTCTGATGCAGTCCAGTGGGACATATTCAAATTCTTCAAATGAGTTACCTCCTCCAGTGGGAACACCAAGAAAATATAATGAGAGACTGCTGGGCATGCTAAAGGGATTCAGAAAAGAAGGACCTCTCTGTGGGCTTATCCCAGGCACCTCCATCCTTCAATGAGGGGAAGAATTCTACCAGTTGTGAAACATTTCACACTCAGGGACACCTGCACCTGATTGATCACTGCTGATCCTGTCTTGTGCTGCTCATTCAATGCCCACTGAACCTGTTGGCATTATGGGTGTGTTGCAGGTGTAAATCAAAGCCCTGATTGTCACAGCTAGTAGACTTCCAGAGACTCTAAATTCTTTCCCTTGCTGTCCTCTGGCTGCCAGCTCTCCGGAGCTCATACCACCTGTTCTCAAACCATCTTGCAGTCTGTGTGTGTATGTCTATAGCTGAATGAAATGCAATGGTCAGTATTAAGCAATCTGAATAGTATAGCCTCAGCTCTATTGTTCTGCTCACTTCATTTGGCCTTCCAGTTAACAAATCATTGATTTATAATGCTAATTGAATATCTCATCTGCCAGATTCCTTGTTGGAAAGGGATTCCAAGAAATGCTGCTGTTAACAGGATCAGTATACTGGAAAAAAGAACTCTTTTGCAAGCAGGCTGAGCTGCCTAGCTCATAGATATAGCATTATCTACCTAATACTATATTGGGGTCAAAGCTTTTGTGGGAGGACTGATGGTGCAGTGAGGCTGATAGAAGATAGTGCTTCATGTAGAAGCAGAACATCAAAGGGCATCACTGGCTGTACCACAGAAAATTTTGACATTGCAGTTGAACCTGTATTGGAGATTCGGTTCAGATCATTATAATTTTGATGCAAATTTACCAGCTGTCAACATTTTTTTCCTTTTGGTTTTCATTATATACCATTGTATTTGCACACACTGGATGCCTTCCACAGAAAGTCAAGTGGAAGATATTCTCCATCCATGAAAGGACATTCAGTCTGTGAGGCCAGTTGGTTTGGAGGAATCCCCTCCCAAGCACACACAGTGTGGTTTCAGGGTCCTCAGGACTAGTTGTTTTGGGATATCACATCTGTTCTCACCATCTGCACTATCTTCTAACACAATCAAATCACTGATGAATTTGAATAATTTGTCACTAAATTAAATGCACTTAGTTTTAAGATAAGTAACACAGGTTTTAGAAGCTTCTAATCAACAGTGCTGTGTTTGCACACCCTGTTATCCTTACACTAAACATGGTAGTCTTTGTGAAGTAGAAAATAGGCCAGCATTTAAAAAAAAATTATCCATAAAAGCAGTTGGAGGAGGATCATGTGTTTGCCCAGAAAGTGCCTTGCTGGTGTGAGTAAAACAAATGCCAAATACAAGACAACTCAAGATCCAGTCTCACGCGGGTGATGTGGCTGAGACCTTCCTCTTTATGTTGCTATTACCTGCTAAATTCCCTACACGTGTTTAAGAGAGGGAGGCCCTTTCCAAAGGAGACTGTAATTTGTGCGGCGCCCCACCAGATGTCCCTGCAGTGAGCCCTGCACAATCCCTTTATTTGCACACCGAGTGGTTTTGTTACCAGGTGTGACAGCACCAGTGGGGAGTGCCAAGTGTGGTGCCCGAGGTGCCACTTGCGCTGGGGAGGCAGCCGGGGAGCGAGGGCAAGAGAGGAAGGCACGAAGCAGGCTCTCCTGCCTGCCCAGGCTGCCACCACCTCTCCCAGCTGATGATATTCCTTCGTGCTGCGCTTGCTGCCTGAATGGTGAGCACCGAAAGATTTTTGTTTGGTTTGGGCTTTTTTATTTATTTATTTTTATTTATTTTTTTTGACAGTGTAAAAATCAGGGTGGCTGCATAAATAATGTAGTTGGAAAGGTCTTTCTTTTTATTCCTCAATAGGGTGATGCTGTGGCCAAGGTTTTTCTGGGTCAGAGGAACCTGCACAACCGGTATCTTCATACAAGCTCCATGTCCGTCTGCAGCACAAGGAACAGGACGGGCACATAAGGACTATAAAATGACCTCTAACAGGCAAATGAAAGAGCCCTGAGGAAGAAGTGGCTGTGGGCAGCGTGAATCAGCAGGAGTGACTGTGCGCACCTTCATGCACCCACTATGTGCTAAATCTGTAATAAAATCGTCACTGCCCCAGACATGGGCTTTGCCAGGCTTGCACATGAGAAGCTTTCCAACCTGCTGCTGGTGCTGTTGAGTGTGGTATCCTGCTCTGCTGCTGCTGCTGGGGATGAGCCCAGCCTGGGCAAGAGGTCCTTGCCTCACTATGAACACGATTCCAGTGGTGCTGTTGACTCTTCTCAAGACACGAGGCTACATGTTTTCACACTGGACTATGACTATGTGCAAATTCCCTGTGAAGTTACCCTTTGGATACTCCTTGCCTCTTTTGCAAAAATAGGTAAGTAGAAAATGGGATCTCAGGTTCCCCCTAACTTGGAAAGAAGGTAAAAAAGTACAATGTAACCGAGTAACTTTCGTTCATTTCGAAGCTGGAATTGATTTTACAGCATCTGTCCTCAAAAGAACAGGTGTGTTCATTACCACAGCAATGCCAATATTCCACTTTAGGATGATTCCATCTTACTTAAGTTAACATATGACCTCTAACCTTCACGTCTCTTGGGCTGTGCGTAGCAAGTAGCAACAGAGCTCCCTGACACAGTGCTGTCCATTCATTTTTCTAGTCCTTGTAGATCACAAGATACTGGAATTTTCAACCTGACACAGCTGTAGAAATCAGTTACACCAGACTGAGACTTCAAGAGTATTGAATTTTAGGGAGAAAGTGTAAAGCTCTCTTCCTTTGTATGAGGAAACATTTCCCTCTGAGTCCTTGTTTTACATATTTGCTCCTTAAAGCTGGTGTGAAAAGTAATACCAGGAGAGAAAGAATGAGAGTCTCCGAGGGTGTGGATCATCAGAGATGCAGGCTAAGTATCTTTTGAATACACAGCAATGCATCTAGCCTCTATTAGAGCTCCATGTGGGTATCTGAAAGGGTAAAGGCAACTCAGGGAACAGTAATTGCAGTAGGAACTGTAATTAACATATCAGAAAAGGCTCATCATGCCTTACACATTTTCATGGCTGGGCTGAAATTATTTTGACCATTTAGCATTAACGCAGCAATATCAAATAAATGAAGAAGATGGTAATAATGTGAAGAGCTACACACACAAAATCTCCCTTTTCTTTCTGTAAGATTTTCAAACATTTCCTTAGAACAAGCTGGTAGGTAAGACTGATGTTTTTCTGGAGGTGGCCTGAAGATAAACATTTTTCCTATCATAGTTACCCAGCTGACAAAAATCATTACCACTATCCATAATTTGCCAGTTCCATTATGGCTGATGCCCTCAATCTGATTTCTACAAATGTCTTCACTGGTAACATAATCAAAATTTTCACAAATAAAATTCATTACAGCATTAGTGGAGTGTGTTAATAGTGAATATATTGACCAAATTATTTTTTTATCATCCATAAAAGCACAGGACTTGACATATGGCACATCTACACAATATTCTTTTTTTGAATATGAAATATATACTTTAGAAGAAGTGTGTGATGCCAGCCAGGTGGACCTGTTACTTTTACTGGGAGTTTTCAAACAATATTATTTTTGATGAACAGTGTGGAGCTGTTAATTTTAAATACATTTGGAAGAAAGAGTTAGTCAGAATAATCTGGTTTCACAGGGAAGAAGATTTCCAAGATGTTAAAGTCTTCAGTGTTTTGTTCAGGTATTATCTTCTTTCTGGATTTCAAGATTTAAGAGTGGGAAACTGTAAGACTGACAGAAGACTTGAAAATTATTTTTTAAATTAAAAACCAAATGAGTAGATTGATGATATTAACATACCTCTTAGTAAAAAAATAAAATAGTGTCCAAAAATTATTGAAACTTTCATAAAAATATTTTTATGTTCCTTTGCTTTTGAAGACTGATAATTCAAGGGTCACAGAAATACTCTCATGGCAGAACCTTCTAGAGTTTCAAGATGAAGGCTGACCTAGCTTCAAGCATGGAGTAACAGACACTTGACTTAAAGGTTTCTTAGTCTGCCTCATTCTCATTCTTGTAAATGTAAAAAAAGTCCTGACATTTTTAGTACAGGCACATCTCATTCACAGTGTGATCGCACAGTTTCTTGCATTGCTACTAGACGAGCCTGTAGCAGGTGGGCAGTAAGGATTCTTGAAGAATATTGTCTTTCCAAATTGTGGAGGATCATTTCAAATAGGTTTCTGCCTTCCCAGAAGTGCAGCTTAAACTCAGACATGCTTGTTCAGAAATCAGGAGCTGGGCATCAGGAAGAGAAAACATTGATGGCCAAACTCTTTTCCTGCTTTTGTGATACAAGCGTGGGAATGTTTAGTTTTGAAGGGAACAGTACTGCCTGCTTTTACCTTCATAATCCTTGGAGCAGAAGCTGGCTGTCTGAAGACAAAGTGTCCAAACACAGACAAGACAATTGTCTGACATCAGGTTAATTTAAACTTAAATAATTCCCTAATGTTTTATTCAAGGTTTCCATATCTTTCACCGATTACCAAGACTTATGCCGGAAAGCTGCATCCTGATTGCCATTGGAGCACTAGTAGGAGCAATCATCTTTGCTTCCCATCACAAATCTCCACCAGTGATGAACAGCAGTATTTACTTCTTGTATCTCCTTCCACCCATTATTCTGGAGGAGGGTTATTTCATGCCAACTCGACCATTTTTTGAAAACTTTGGATCCATTCTGTGGTGGTCTGTTCTGGGAGCTCTGCTAAACTCATTTGGGATTGGCCTCTCCCTCTATGGAGTCTGCCAGATCGAAGCCTTCGGCCTGACTGACCTGAACCTGCTGCAGAACTTGCTCTTTGGCAGCATGATTTCAGCAGTGGACCCCGTGGCAGCTCTGGTAGTTTTTGAAGAAGCCTCTGTTAATGAGCAGCTTTACATGATGATCTTTGGAGAGTCATTGCTGAACGATGGCATAACTGTGGTGAGTTTCTTTCGGCTCCTCATCTTCCCCTCTTTGGACTCTTGTGGGTCATTGGGTTACTGGGCACAGGACAAGAACAGCTCAAAGGAGATCCTAATACATTATTTATTTTATGAATACTCCACTCAATTACGCTCAAGGGATTTTAATGTATGCAGAAATTACATCTTGTATTCCCTCTTTCCAAAGCATGTATTTTAGAGCTGCTGGGAGAGGAGAACATACACATATATGTGAGATGTCTTCTTGCATTGACTGAAGTGAGCAGATAAGCTACAGCTGATTTTCCTGGTCAGATCAGTGCAGGACCTTGGAATGTTCTTGACATTGTGCAAGCAGAAAATTGTACTGCTTAAAGACTGAAGGCAAGCAAGGGTAGGAATACATGAGACACTGCTTTGTCATATACCTGAGGAGGTACTCTGGAAAAAAAAAATAGGCAAACCAGATGTGGATAACCTCTGGAGGCCATGCTCTGTCCTCCAGCCCCTTTCCTCCAGAAATTTCTTCAGAGATCTTAGACAGAAATTCCAAATGCCACTAAGAACTTTGCATAACTCAGTTTCTACCAGTAAAAGTATCGACATCTGACAAACATTTTCCCTTTTTGGCTGCCCTATCATAAATATCCAGAAACAATGTTTCCTGAATAAGAGAGATTTGTTTGGTTGGTTGTGTTTTTGTTGTTGCTGTTGTTTGTTATTGGTTTTTTATAGAAGAGTTTTTTTACAAAGCTCCTTTTGCTAATATTTTTCCCCTTATCTCATTAGTTCTGCTAAAATTGGAGCAACCTAAAATTCTAGCTGTAAGCAGAAGTGACAAGAACATTTAAAACACATGTTTTTTCAAGGAAGAAATTTCAAGCAGGAAGTTTATTGCTCAGAAACCAACAGGACTGCTCATGTGGTGCAAATTAAGGGCAGGTTAAGGAGTTTCACTAGATAAGATCTTTACAGAATTTAAATCACAAGAATCTAAGCCACATAACAACTATTCAGATACTGCTATACATAAGGTACAGCCCAACTCAGACTTTTAAAATCTGTACAAAGTTCACTGCGGAAAGGCTTCATGGGAGAAGTGCAGTTTATGAGCACCGAGAAAAGAAACAGGAACAAAGTGACTTCTTACATCCTCTGGCTCATAAATCCTTTCACTTGGTGATCAGAGATAAAGGGCTGATTTAGAACTAAGGGACAAGTGTTATTTAATTTACGTTCAAATTACTTGGGTGCTGCAGTTGTAACAGAAAAACCCTCCATGTGTCTAGCTCTTACATTTGTCTTTTTGGTTCCTTCAAATATTGACCTCAAAAATGCAATGTCTCTTTTTCACACTGGAAGAGCTTGTTTCATGCTTTTTTTGATTTGAGCTATTTATCATGCGGATCCAAGCCCTGATGGCATTTTTTTACCTGAGCTTTCAGTCAGGTAAATATGTTACAGTATAAATGTGCAGGGACAGAAAGCCTTCTAAGACAGTGGACTTAGGCACTCCTCAGCAGCACAGGGTGTGTTAGTAAATGAGATGTAAGAGCTGTTTGTGGGGTATGTTGGGTGCACCACTGAGAGGTCCCACTTCCCCACACACTCTCATCTCTGGGGCTCATCTCAGAGCAGCGGTGTTGCCATCAGTTTGTCAGCTCCTGCTATTGCATCTCTGCATCAACCACCATTTCCCATCTTTCTGGGACTAGAATGCCCTCTTTCTGGGCATTAGAGCTTTCAAAATCTCTACCTGACTTCATGCTTAAGAAGACTGAGGTATTTGTCACTTGAATGGAGTCCAGTAGGTGACTTTCTCCTCTCTGATATCCCATTTACTTTTTTCCAAGACTTCACAACTATTTATCCCAGGTATATTCTCTTTCCACTTCCTTCTCTTTCTTTCTTAACAGTTTCATTTGAGTTAACTCTAAGTGTTTAAAAAAGATCATATCACCAAGTTATATTAAGCATACATATATTTTATTTTTTTTTTATTGTTTAAATACAAATAACCCCTGCTTCTCTCCAGCCTGCTTATCAGCTTGGACATTTTTTTCCTCAGCAGGAAAAACTGGTATGAGTTTTGTTGAACTTATGTATTACATTTGGGGCAACATAGAGCTCTGTCTCCTATATTTAGTTCAATATCTTGGTATATAAAAAATGACAAAATGTCAGACTGTAGAATTACAATTATAATTGTAATTCTATACAAATATATATATGTATATATATATACATATTATATATATATATAATTCTAAATACAAATATAATAGAATTATGACTTTGCCATAAGGGGGCGGGAGAAAAATGGATTATTTACTCCTTTTACCCATTGGTACTTTTTCTTATTTTTCTGAGTAGGGCCGTGTCTGTGGGTGGAAAAAGAAGGCTCCAAGTCCTGTTAATTGCTTCTTTCCCCAGTTATTTCCGAGTGGGCTGTTAGCATCAGAATAGTTCAGTCAGCAACAGGTCTGGACCTAGGATACATCATGCATTAGTGGAATTTTAAAGCTCTGTTTGAAAAAAGTGTTATAAAACTAGTGCAGGTCTTATTCAAGCCTGAACTCAGGTGGAATACCCTGATGCTGCTGTGAAGTGTTTCAGGCATCTGAAATTCTGTTCCCAGGTACGCAGGTAATTTTGTTTCTAAACAGGAGCTCAGCACCTGTATGCATCAGGAAATGGAATATTCCTTAACTGCTTCATCTCTGAGGCTTGATTTTAGAAATACTGAGAACACCTATATATCATGCTGTACTCAAAATGAGTGGCACCACTGGCTGTATTCTCTAATGGAACTCTCTCTTCTTTGTACGTGGCAGAACAGTTAAATCTAATATGTGTTGAAGGCCCAAGTAAAATTTTTTTTTTTTTTTTGGATATTTGAAATTGCCTCTTTGGTGTCACTGAGAAAGACTTTGACCACTGGTTTAGATGCTAGAAAGGAGGATAGAGATATTCTCTGCTCCTGCTGTAAATGTTGTTCCACTGTGCTTAGAGTAAAACCAGCTACAGTGGCCAAAAAGAATTACCTGAGTGGTAAGAAAGAATTATCAAGATGTCTATGTTGGTGGTTAAGGCAGTCACTTGAAAATCTCTTCTTCCAGTGCTTCTGATGTGGATTGTACGTGCAGTAATTGTACATAGACACCTGGAGCATGGAGCAGCCCCTGGGGAGTTCCCTGTGGCAATAGTGACATGCTCTCTCTTCCTCTCCCTGGTTCTAAAAGCTGCCCAGTGGTACCAAATCCTCTCTAAACAACCCAAAGCATGACATTCTCAGAGCTGCTACATGAGATCACTATCAATCCATCCCTCTTTTTGTGTGAACAAAAACCTCCTAATCTGATTCAGCTTTCCTAATCGATAAAGAATTCCGGTTATCCATTTACTGGCATAAACACTGCAATGTAACTTAGCTGAGCCTTACTTACACAACACAGTGCAGGTTCTGCTACAGAACAGTTTACTCTCACAAAAGCATGTTACAAAATAAAAATAGAAATTATGTCATATTTCCATGACTTTTATTTTTATGCCAAATCAGTTAAATCATACAGGTACTTTAGGAACTAGAAAAGTGAAAAAAAAGTTCTTAAGTCATTTGCTGAGAATCTTTCTTCATAAGTCAGCACAGAATCATGCTGTGGTATCATTTATAAAGAACCACAGGTCTTAGGAAGCGGTCAAAGGCTACAAGAAAGGGAAAGAGAGAAAACAGGCTCTGAAATTAAAAGCTATAAGGTAGGTAGGGTGAGATTTGCTTACTGTGAAGACATGAACCCTCTTTTCCTCATCTGCCACTGAAGAGACGAATTTCATACACTAGCATTAGGAAAAAGAAGTTCTGGGTATTTTCTTAGATTAAATATTTTGTTTGGCTTTGTCTGTCTCCCAGAATCATTAGCAGTGAGCCTTCTGGAGAACAGACTGTGTGACAACTCAAGGTTATATGTCCCCAGCAGCAATTTAAGATTAGACAATTATCCTAATGAGCTTGACTCTTCTACCTGCAAATACCTGCTTTAGTCTTCTTAATAACATTCTGGAATTAGCTAGATTAGAAGAAGAAATACCAAAGAAAACCATAAAATGCAAATGACTTTGGTCTATTTATTGTTTTTGAACGAATGTTTTAGTGCAACAGCTTTGGAGAGCTGGTGTCTTTAGTTGTTTCCCAAATTCTCTTCAAAACTGAAAGGTGACTTTCATGTGTTACACACTCACTAAACAGATCTGACAGGACTTAATATTAACTGATTGTCAGCAAACTCTAAGGCCTTTTTATTACTGCAACACTCTGGAAATTTTCTGCTTGTTTCTAAAAGATGATTGAAAGTGGAATATTCTGAAAATTTTTCATTAAGAGTTTCTGCAGAATAGATATTATTGATTATAGAAGTTTAGTAAAGTTTTCTGCTCTAAGATACTGTCTTTACAGACCAATTTATATAATACATTGTATAAAATTATAATTTTCACTAAATTGAATCTTTCTTCTAATATATATTCTTTTAATTTTTTAAATTTTGAGCTTTCTAGTCAAAACGTGTATATGTGCAGGGTCTTCAGAACATTTACAGTCTCACAATATTTGGTTCATACTTTGAGATTGTTGTCTGGGAAGGTGGTTAAATGCCATCAAACTCCATTGTCTAGCTAGAGACAATATGAAAGTGAGGCTACTTATTCCCCTTCCCTTCCCCCTTCCCTTCCCCCTGATTTTTACATGTCAGGTACTATTGAAAAACACATGTCCCATGTCCATCTAATGAAGTTTGTCTAGTCTACTGACTGACCCTATAGACAAACTAAATGGGATTTGAATCAAATATGTGATTCTCAGTCCCTGCCCTGTCCCAGCCCGAGTCAGAAGAACATGGAGGGTAGAGCCTGGGGTTTTAAAGGTGCTCGGCTGGGCTTTTAACCTCTGCTACAAAGACCAAAAATTAAATTAACTGTCAAACAAACAAAAATAAGAGTATTTTTGTTTATTATTCAATGGTGTGTGGTCCCCCAGAAATTTACTTCTATTTCACAGCTATTTACCCTTTTTTTTATTTTTATTTTTTTTCTCTTTTTCAGGACACTTAACAGACTCTTATTTCTGTGACTTGTTAAGAACCAGTTGAGATTTCACTTGTTACTTTTCTGGTTTCTCTAAAGTAATATCTGGCATACACAGATACTTAAACACACAGACATTGTTTCACCTATGAAATGAGTAAACCTGCCAGGTTCAGAAAGATGCCTAACTGCTGTCTTCTTATTTTCACATGTAGGTTTTATATAACATCTTCATCGCCTTCACCCAGATGCACAGGTATGAAGAAATTGAATCCATTGATATCTTTGCTGGCTTTGCTCGCTTCTTCGTGGTGGGGCTGGGAGGAGTCTTGTTTGGCGTTGTATTTGGATTTGTCTCAGCGTTCATGACTCGTTTCACCCACAACGTCTCTTCAATCGAACCCCTGCTGGTCTTCATGTTCAGCTACCTCTCATACTTGTCTGCTGAAACCCTTTACATCTCTGGCATTTTGGCGTGAGTATTACTTACTGCTTTTTGGATGACCACTTTGAGGAACTGGGGTTTTTTTTTTGGTGGTTTGCTCAAGATTGGTACAACACCAGCATTCATTCTCTGGCTTAGAGAGGCATTGCACAGCTTCTCAGAGATGTGTAAAATGCAGTGGTAACTAGGAAAAGCAAACCCACAGAAAGTGTACCGACAGGTATGCTACTGAGGAGTCTTGTCAAAAGTACTGCAAGTACTGGTAAAGTGGCCAGTGCTGCCACCATCTGTCTGCTGTCTCTGATAAGATCAGCAACAGGAGAGAATGATTTGAAAATGCACCAGTTTATCTGCATTTATTTCTAAGCAGCTTCACTATCAGATTGTAAGAGAGATATAAAGCGATGGGTATGGAAAACATAAGAATGCACATCTGAGTTCTTGGTGAACATCAGCCCTAACACAATCTACTGGAATTATATTACATTTGAACAGCATCACTGGGATTGAAACTGGGAAAAACCAGGCAGAAGAGGACCTCACCTACACATGCATACTTATGTTCATGTATGTGAATATTGACAGTTAGATTTTTTTGTGGTAAGGATAGCTTGATACAGCTGTAATGCTGGGTACATCTTCCTCAAAGTATGATGGCAGGAGTGACTGCTGTGGAGAGAATAGCTGATAGGTTTTTGACTGGAGTAAATGCAGAAAGGATGAGGATTGTGGGAAGGAAGGAGAATGGCAGCAGGAAAGGAGCTGGAAGAGAAAGGAAGGAATAGGGATGAAAGTGAGAGACTTAAGGAGAAAGTTGCTGGCAAATTACTTGCAAGGATAGCACACCAAACAACCCATCTGAGGGGTAAAGCATAAAGAGATGGAGACCTCACGTTTCTAAATGCTCCAGCTGGTGCTGCTGGCTGCTGTAGGCTCAGTGCACAGCTGGTGGGTAGCATCAGTTTTGCACAGCCCCTACTGGCTCTGAGTTTTCATGATGGGTCTTGGAGGTCCTTGTGTTACAGAAAATGCTTCCCTCTATAGGGGACAAACCAGTGTAAACTTAGCAAATACAAGCATATGGCTGCTGATGTCCAGACAGGTGCATTTACACACCTCAGCTTGTAAAGCTCTGAGTTCATAGAATCACAGAATGGTTTGTGTTGGAAAGGACATTTATAGGGCATCTAGTCCAATTCCCTGGTAATAAGAAGGGAGATCTTCAGCTAGAGCATGTTGCTCAGAGCCCCATCCAAACTGGCCTTGAAAGTTTTCACAGGGTGGACATCTGTCACCATCCTGGGCAACCTGTTCCAGTGCTGCACCATTGTAAAAAAAAGCTTTTCTTTAAATCTAGTCTAAATCTACCTAAATATTTTAGTTCAAACTATTATCCCCTGTTGTATTGCAATAGGTGCTACTAAAAGGTTTGTTCTTATCTTTCTAATAGGCTTATTTTAAATGTGTGACACACTCAAATACAATCAAAAGATTGAAGTAAGCTTTTCCTGAAACCTACTCTTCTCCAGGCTGAAGATTCCTGTGTTGTTCAGCTTCAGAGCAGAATTACCTTTGTAAAAACAACCTTTGTAGGATGGCCCTGGGAAGTAGTATTTGCATATTTAAACATATTGAACAAGTAGTTAGACAGGATATAGATTATTTTGAGCAATTAGACAAAGCAGATGAGTCTTGTACTATGTTTTGTATACCTGACACATATGCTCAGATTGAGGTAACTGGCAACTTTCATTGAGCAGGATTAAATCTACTGTGCAGTGAACAGTAATACCATGTGGACCCTTGCCTACCTGCACTGCCCAAAATACTGCTTTCTCACCTATTCCTTGCACTAGACTACATAGCTCTTTATCTCTTTCATTTCTTATTTTCATTAGAGTTCTGAAATTATTAGTGATAAAAGAATGTTAATATAATTTGGATTTATTATTCTTACTGCTTCATTAAGAAAATTATTGCTTGTTTTAGAGATGGGAACTTATTGTCACCTTTCTGAATTATTGAGGATTCATTCATTTTTCACTTGGCTCATGAAAGTCTATTATGTATGTGTATCTGAAAGTCAACAGTATTAATCATTAATGCCTAATGGCCTTGTCTTGGAGTGTCCTTGGACATGCTAAATGACTCAGCTCTACCAGGATACCCTTGAGATTTCTTCAGTGGAAATTAAATGAACTGAAACTAGAGGAAGGTTATTTAATGAACAGTCATCATTCTCCGAATTCACAAGTTTGGGAAAATATCATTACAAGAAGCCCCCAGAGACTAAAATCACATCAGTAGAAGCTAGATAGGTGCTGGGATATGTTACTAGCATAGCATTCAATCTGTGTATTACCTATGGAAAATGCTGAGGGGAAAAGGGAATCCCTTTCAGTAGGGCTGATGAAAGACTGCTGCTCCATGTGATTGTCACCAGCATCTGTGCTGGGTGGCTGCTGATGCCTCTGACACTGACTCTAGTCTTCACTAACTGTGAAGAAGTGGAAAACATCCCTTTGCTTCATCAGGCACATTTCCTACACGCTAGGTAACTAAAGGGAGAAGGACACCTCTGGAATTGCATTTTCTCCTGGTGTGCCACAATGGGCTGCTGTGGTGGGAGAGTCCTGAAGCTTGCCCTGGCACTGCTGATCTGCCAGCCAGCCATGGAGCCATGGGAGCTACGGCCCTGGCGTGGGACTACGTGACCTGCCACTGTCACCTCAAGGGACAATACCACTGAGAGGCAGGTTATATCTCTCTACCTGATCCACCTGTAGGCTGGTACAAAACCAACCTTCCTGCTGTTTGGGATAAATATTCAGTGGTTGGTAGCTTCATGTTAGGCATTCAGGATAACAATGGACTTTGAACTGGAATGTGATACCCTCATTTCCTTGTAAGAAAAGCTGACTAGTTTGCTTCCTTTATCCTGTATGTAAAACAGATTTGTAAACTTGAATGAAGATGCTTTTTTTATCTAATGAAATAGCTGACATTACTGCAGAAATAAAATGCTTCTTGTTATGATGAAGGTTGGAATCTGGTGATGGAGAACAGAGGTAATAATAGCTGATGTTGTGCTTAACTGAAAAGAAGAACAGGTTGTGGCTGATCTCTGATGTTTTGCTTGATACAGGATGACAGCTTGTGCAGTGACAATGAAAAAATACGTGGAGGAGAATGTTTCCCAGAATTCTTATACCACAATAAAATATTTCATGAAGATGTTAAGCAGTATCAGTGAGACCCTGATTTTTGTGTTCATGGGAGTGTCTACAGTGGGGAAAAACCATGAGTGGAACTGGGCCTTCATTTGCTTCACTCTGCTCTTCTGCCTCATTTGGCGAACACTGAGTAAGTCAGCTTTTGCAGAACACCTTCGGTGCACCTCTGAGAAAAACTCTTTGGTACAAAGTTGTGTTAGAAAAGTCTGTGGGGACTGGCACAACTGGTTTAACAACAAATTTACTAGGGTTATATTAGTGACAAGCAAATTTCAGAAATCTACGTGCAGAGAAAAAGGGGAAGAAAGCCCTCACAAATCTGAATGCCAGTCTCTAATCACAGACCTTATGTTTAGGTGCAAATGGAATTTTTTAAAGCAAAATTAAAATATTATCATGATTACAGTTATAGAGATGTTTATATCTTAATTTGCTGTATGCCCCTTGGGTAAGTGGGCCTCATAATGATTTCACCACACACCGTCATTAACTTACAAATTAGATAATATATATTGTCCCACTTGCAGTTCTATAACACCACAGGTCCTGGGCCAGGAGTGCTGGAGGCATGGGAAAAGAGGGAAGGTGAAAATTAGCACTGATAGATAACTGAACAGGGACTTATACCACATGTGGGCTGGCAGCACTATGCTACTACTCCTCACAAGTCTAAAGTTTTAAACAGCTAAAAAGTAGTGACCATATGAAATTACTCCACTTTTGCACATTATATGTCCCATTCCTGCAAAGGTCTCCTACTGCCTGACTAGTGAGACTGGGATTCCTCTAGCATAGGCAGGGCACTTTGTAGATAATGTCAGATGAGTTGTGGGACACAGTTCCTCATCCTCTCCTAATCTCCAGGATGGGGTGAAAATAATGCTGAAAAGAGAGAAGGATTAAGAAGGCAGGTGGTTGGTGTTCTGGAGGTGGTGGCAAAAACAAAGTAATTACATATTTTCTTGTTATATCTGGACCAAGCACGGCCTCTAAATTTTTAAAGGTTTGCTATCCGTTTTGAAATATCCTTCCAATTAAGACAGAAATCAGGAGTGCTCTCCTGATATAAAAGCTGTTTTCCAGCCACATGTCCATTCTTCTCTCAGACACCAAGGGGAGTGCTAGAGCTTTCCAGAGGAAAGCCAAAATATTTTCTGCTAAATTTGTGTGTTAAAATGATTTCATAATTTTCTCTGAATTTTGAATAAAGTGAAGAGAAGTGGCCTGAGGGTGATACCTCACATAGGCTGTTTCAGTCTGAGTACCTGATGTCTAGCATAGCTATAAGTAGCCAAAAAAGCTCTTGCCTGAAGTGGTATCTGACAACCTAGATAAAAGGATACTGCTACTGGCTTTGCCTCTAATAATCTGAGTGCATCAGTGACAGCTGTGTAAAATAACACAGTAATTATCAGCATTTGTCCACTTTCATGCCAGTAATTTAAGTTTCCACATAAAACGGAGGATATGTATTTCTTATGGAAGATGAAGAAGATTGAGTGAATCGAACAAATTGCTGAAAGTACACTATAAAGACAAGTTACAGTCCTTACACAGCCACAGATTGTCTTATTAATTTTAAATTTTATTAAAAGTAAAATGAAATTTGAGAAATAAACAAAGAATAGAGACACAGTAAGCCAAGGATTAAAAATTAAAATGCTATTACTCTTTGTCTTTCAGTGAACCTGTCCACAGGACTTGTTGGTAAAGGATTGTTCAAACACTTTAGGCAGATATTGTGCAGAAAGCAGGGAACATTGCAAGGAACACAGGGAAAGCTCTCATCCAGTTGTTTTTCTTTTCTCCAGAACACTTTGGAGAAAACTATGCAATGTAAATGTAGGAAGTAAATATTTTCACCTAATCTCCCTTCTAAACTGGGCTAATGAATTTAAATCCTGTTAGGAAACTATTAGGAACCACAGTATTTTATAGGAGATATTTCACACAAGCCAAGTTTAGCAATTGGTCAAAGAGAAGCTACAAGAAACCAAAATTGAAAAAAAACATGGGCTGTCAACAGTTCCCCAAGACATTGTTTTGCTTTTAATATTTAATATTTTCTTTTTTCTCCTTGATTAATAATAGCTGTGATTTTTTTTTTCCCCTTCCTAGGTGTATTTGCTCTCTTCTACATCAGTAACAAGTTCCGAACATATCCTTTCACCTTCAAAGACCAGCTCATTATTTCTTACAGTGGCCTCCGAGGTGCCAGCAGCTTTTCTCTTGCATTCTTGCTTCCAGTGAATCTTTTCCCCAGAAAAAATCTATTCATCACTGCAACTCTTGTGGTTATATATTTCACTGTCTTCATCCAAGTACGTGTATTTCTTAATGGATAACTTTCATGTAAAAGAAGCCTTTTGTATGAAAGCTTCATAGTGAAAATTGCATTGAATTCACTCTTAGGCTAGGACATGTTATTGCACTTCAGGGCCAGATTTTAGCACTGCACTGTGTAATTAGCATTTTTAGGGCTTTTAGGTAATACAAAAATTTTGTATTGAAAACATGTATCTTCTAAAATATTCAGGGGAGAGGGCACTTGCTGTCCAAAATTACTTATGTTCATTCCACATGCATTTCCTGGTGCTTTCAATTTAAGTATTTTGACTTTATATTTCAGCACTGATTCATTCTTTATTAGTGATGTATCTCAAAATGACCAGAAAACAATATGTCTGTTCTGTGACAGATTTTTAATTTTATACTTTTATCCTTGTCTGTCTTGAAGACTAAATACAAATATTTTGAAATCCTTTGTAAAAGGATATTAAAAAAAATAAATAAAGTGAATAAGTCACATTTGTAAGTACATGTGTCTACTTTAGATATTTGGGTTATTTCACCTGGCTTACTGCTGTACCTGGAAGAACTGAAACTTGTAGAGAAATTGCAGCCCATATTTTGTATTTTCCAATACCAAGGTCTCAGATCCTCTTGGGTGCCAATGGGGCACTATGCACTTGTGATAAGTAAGGCCCTTTGGTTCCACCAGAACATTTCAGAAAAAAAAATGTGCTTCTTTTCCCCCTTTTAAAATGGTTTTCTGTAGCAGTGCCGTAAAAAAATGGGAAAACCTGAAAACTCTTTCTAAGTGAAAACCCCCTGGAATGTTTAAGTCTGAAAATGTTGAAATAAATGATCTCAAGATTTCAAGACCATGCAAAGATAATATTTTCTTTCAAATGAGTCCTCTTTTGAAGACGATTGCCAATGAGTCAGTTGCTTTATATAATTAGAATATGCCAATAAATAGAATCTCACTTAAAAAACCCTCTTAAAAAAAGTTTTTGATTTTTAATTCTCTTCTGTAGCTCTCAACACACATAATGGTTAATTTCTGTGCTAAGACACAGCTTTCCTAACTGATTAAAATTATCCCTGTTATTTTTCTTTATTTCTATTTTTGCCTAAAAGATAATTAACAATTCAACTCATTATTCCAAATGCAGGGAATCACAATTGGACCATTGGTCAGATATCTGGATGTTAAAAAGACGAACAAAAAGGAATCTATCAATGAAGAAATTCACGTGCGAGTAAGTTTTTATATCGGTAACTGGAATCCCAAAAAAGAAAAGAACAGGTATTCTAAAAGAGCTGGAAAGAGGGAGGCCCTTGCAAACCTGGCATTCAGTGGATTAGGACACTCAGTGCTTTTAAGAATATATGGAGGTAACCCTAAGCATAATTTTCTAAAATATTGCATCTCGTGTATATTCATATTTATTGTCATATTATATTATCATTCCACAAGTGTCACGGTGCAGTACGTCCATTATTTATTGGTACTGTGACCATGGGAAGACAGAAAAAGAAATCAAATTTTTATAAAATGCATTCACCATCCTTCTCAGCTGGATTAGCCAGATACCTTTGTTGCCATTTTTTGAATGGTTCTAGACATGCTGAAACCTTAAAACTCTTTAATCCAGATTTATTGAACTGAGTTGGACCATTGGACTATAAACTTAGTTCCAAGTTTTTCTGAGTAATGATCTTTTCTCCTCTCAAATATTTACTTTAGTTCTCAAACTGCTATTAAATAAAATAACAGAAAGTTGCTCAATCTGACTTAATAATGTTCTAGTAAAGGTATGCAAATTCTTTCATTTCACAATAGGGAATAGGTTTGAAATTAACAGCAACACTGGTTCTTGAAATGAAGCACACACAGAGACATTAGCAAAATTAGAGCATCACAACTGCTTTTGATTTTAAAGTGAATTTAATTCTTAATTTGAACCTTTATGCTTAACCTTGGAGAGAATTTGCATTTAAAACCACCCCTTATGACAAGATGTCTGTAAGAATTGGCCTTTTTTAGTCTCTATAATGCTAGAAATGCACAAAAAAATGACTGCAAGCAATAGTAGTTAGCAGTGACCACTCTCATGTCATTCTGCAAAACCTCAGAGATCTTACCAGCCAAGGTGAAGGTCCCAGGAAGGTCTCACATGAGGAGGGGAAACTTGCTTGACAGAACCAAGAATTTATATTTTGGATTTGGTAGACAAAAAGGACCAGACAATTTTTTTGCCTCCATCAAAATACTGCCACTGCAGCCAAGCTCCCACAGTGGCATCTTTGCCTTGATTTTTAGAGACATGTAAGTGCTTCCAGAGTTAACTTACATGCTCCAATAAAAAAAACGAGTCTCAAAATCCTGTTAGTAAGTGCATATTTGTGATAAGATTATTTTTTCATAATGACCACTTAAAATGTTTCCATATTTTTTTCTATAGTTGATGGATCATTTGAAGGCTGGTATTGAAGACATATGTGGACATTGGAGTCATTATCAGCTGAGAGATAAGTAAGTATCTCTTATTGCAGTCTAATATAATAAAATAATCTATCCATTGTGTAAAATATAGTAAGTTAATAAAACAGGAAATCAAAATGCTGGGGTCATGTGCTGTATCTCTTTTACAAGCTGAACTCCTGAGTAACCATTGACTCTTGAGAGTGTGATGCTCATACATTGCCTGCTAAATTGGATCTGCACAAACAGAAAATAAGCCTTCAGAAAGAAAAACATAGCATGGGAACTCTTACTGTGGACATCAGCCTGTGCATACCCTTGGTATAAATTCAAGATCCTGGGAAATGCTTCTTTAACTCTGGATTTAGAACATAAGCTACACATGGCGTCAGTGCTGCACTGACTTTTGCTGTGAGCCTCCACAGCAAATAGGATCCCTTGCTGGTAGTAGAGAATCTGTAATAATTAGTCACCTGTCCTTACAGGTTTTTGCATTCAGTAAAGTCTAAAATAAGAATGCTGAAGGGAATGTTTGAATTTAAATAGGCAGTAGCATAAGCAGATACTGTCAAGCCAGTCTTTAGTCAGAAATGCAGGGCCTGCATTGCCTCTTCTGTAAGCAGGAAGAGGTGGTTTTGTGAAGTTTTTTGGCTCTTCCAAGCTCTGCCCAGAAGAGATGGGTCTGCTGTTCCCTATGCCTTTTCCCTAAGGGAGTCCTGTGGACATGTTGGCCACAATCACAGCGTGTGAAGGGAAGTAGGGAAAAGACCAATTTTTCTTTCCCCCAAACACCTTATGATGCCGTGGGCTAAAAGTTATCCCTAGTTATGCCTGTACAGGCTTCTGTGCTGGAAACATGTCTGACCTTTCAGTATTGGACCTCAATAATCCAGCCAAGGGTGTCTCCTGGGACTTATGGCAAGTCCTTCCATGACTGGGTTTCTCCCTATGGGAATTGGGAATTAAAAGTGGGAAGAAGGTGACTAGTTTGCATCCAATTCTTGTCACAATGGGGAATAATGATATAATGTAGTAGGGAACATCCAAAAACTAAAATGTCTTATTGGCTCTGACAATAAAGAGACAGCTTTAGGACATCCATCTTCCAGGACCACACCACTTTCTGTGCAGTCAATAAACTGAACATGGATTTACTGCTCTGTTGGAGCAGTAAATTCATTGAAATAGCTGCATTTACACAAATATGTGATCAAATGCTATCCCTTTGTCTCACACCTACCTGATAGCTCCGAAAAGAGAATTTTGCCCAAACTAGCCATAAATGCAGTGTTTTGGTTCACAGACAGATTCAAAAACACACTGTGTCTGAAGACATTTAATGTAAGAGGATTGTATTAAAAAGTATTCCCTGAACTTGTGTTTGCAAGTCTAAAGTTGTGTATCAGAATTAATTACCTAAGCAGTGACAATCCAGGAGGCTTTCTGTTACACAGGAAAACATAAAGAGCTCTAATCCCAGTGCAAACATTTGTGTACCTACCTCTGCTGTTAATGAATAAGAAATGGCCTTTGCAAAAGAAAAAAGACACAAATCCTGTAGTGCTTTTCCCAGCATCATGGAGGACCTTACCTTGCTGTGGTAAACTGCTCCTTTGAAAGAAACAGGACTGTTGCTCTGCTGAAGATCTGCTGTTGTTCTGCTAAATGTCTGCCTGAAAGCATGTACCTGTTCCAAGGCACCCACACACATTCACATTCAAATTATGCCACACATTAGCGATATTTTACAATCTGCAGCACGCAAGCACATAGTATTTTGGGGTCCTTTCAATTTGTCTGTTATTCAGAATACAAAGAAATGTATTTTCTCTGCTCTAATTGTTAGGATTCAAAATTATCAGCAGTGTAATGGGCCCTAACTACTGTAACTGCTGGGCCACTTAGAGCCTCATTGGTGGCTGGCTGAATAGGCCAGGATTACAGTAAGAGCAGCTGCTGCTGTTATGCCCTACTATAATGCAACATTTGTACAAAAGCACGGAGACTGGCCGTATTCTTTTCTGACAAATGTGGCAGTGTAATATGCAAACATACACGCAGCCCTCTTTTTTGCTTTGATTGCAGCTTGTTTCTTTCTTTTGTCTAGCGGGCCCTGCAATCTCTGTGGACCCGTAGACTATGCCAAATATCCGCCTAAAGGTCTCTGCTCACCAGGCCTTCAGGAGTCCACAGGTGCCTCTAATTTGTATTCAGTTTCCACCACTGAATTGCAAATATATATATTTGAATAAAGATCAGCTTGTACTACAGAAATGAAAGCATATTTCCCTTTCTACTCTTTGATTTGGGTATCTCTTTTGCAGGTTTAAGAAGTTTGACAATAAGTATTTGAAGAAGATTTTAATTCGGGAGCACCAGCCCAAGTCCAGCCTTGTGTCATTGTACAAAAAGATGGAGATAAAACTGGCCATTGAGATGGCTGAGAGTGGCATGAAAATTTCAAAATCGTCCACTACTTCTTTACAGTGAGTATCAACCTCCTGACTCTTTGCAGAGTAGGGACAGGAAGACAGGGACAAAAAAGAGGAAGTACCCAAGGTATTCCATGACTTAATTGAAATCTAAGAAAAAAGAAAGAGCAGGTGCAATTTGGTATTCATCATATTTGTGCTTTTCTCTGAGAGCTGAAAATTAAAATTATGGACATTTCTTGTTTGTATTCCATGATAGGGAGTCCTGAAGAGGAATAATGAGTCAGGTACAGAAGTCACTCTGGTTGCCTTAAATCACACTAATGGCTCAAGACAGATGTACTTATCACTTGCCTGGCCAGTGAGTTTTTTATGGCTTGGCATACAGGTCCTGACTCCATTATCCCAATCATGAAATTTTACTGAGAGCAGATTTCTTTGTAGCATTTGCAATTTTTACTGCTCCTGTTTGCAATCCCTCAAGCCACCTTGCCATATTTTGTTATTTCCAAAACAACAAAACAAACAACAAAAAAGACCAATTAATCCTGCCGAGAAGGACTTGAGGATACTTGTGGTGGAAATGTTGGACATGAACCATCAGTGTGCCCTCAGAGGCCAGAGAGACAACCATATCCTGTGTCAGAAGTAGCAGGGTGAGGGAGGGGATTCTCCCCTGCTCCTCTGCCCTTGTGAGACCCTACAGTGCTGTGTGCAGCACTGTAGTACAGTTCCTCAGTACAGGAAAGACATGGACCTGTTAGAGTGGGTCCAGGGGAGTGCCACAGAGTTGATCAGAGGGCTGAAGCACCTCTCCTAGGACACAGAGAAGGCTCTGGGAGCACTTGTTTGCAGCTTTTCAGTAAAGAGGGCTTACAAGAAAGATGGAGATGGACTTTTTAGTAGGCTTGTAGCAGTAGGACTAGGAGAAGGTAGATTCAGACTAGGTACAAGAACTTTTTTATGAGGGGCGTGGTGAAACTCTGGAATAGATTGCTCTGAGAGGTGGCAGATATCTCATCCCAGGAAACATTTAAGGTCAGGTGTGATGGAGCTCTGAGCAACCTGACAGTGTTGAGGATGTCCCTTGCTCATTGATGGGGGGGTTTGGAGCCAGGTGTGTGCCATTCTATGATTCTGTCAAACAGTAATGCAACTTGGCATCAGACAGACCAGGGGACAAAACTTGAGATCTCCAGAGGGAACTGGGGCTCTAGGAGAAAAGTTGCACAAGTCTTCTGTCCTGCATACTATAATTGACATGCATGTATTTATCCTTGCCTTGCAACACACTGTCCAGAGCACAGGTGTTGCTGCAGGCACTTGCCTCCATAATTTCTTTCCTGAGTTCTTGCTGACCACTGTTACTGCTATTGCCTGCTCTTTCCTGTTGCATCCTTTTTACAGCTCTCTCCATTGTGCAGCAGCCTCAGCATATTACCTTCTTTTGAATGATGATCTCTACCAATAACAGAAAATCCAAATATCAATTGGATATTAAATTAACATCTTTCTTGAAGCTCTGGCTTAATCATGTCAAGATCAATCTGCTTTCTTGTACTGATGTCAGCATGCAGTGTAAGACCTAGACCTTTTCTCTCTAAATTATTCTTTGCTGAATAGATGATATTAAAAAAGACTGCATGTACAGTCAAGAGAAAATGTGCAAGGCTGTTAGACAATCCATGGCAATCAAACCACTTCCCTCTTCTTTTCCTGAGGGAATGAGAAAATAAGACAAATTGCTCCAGTGTAATGCAGAAATTTTCTTCTGAGCTGAGAATTTAAATTGAAAAATATTCTTTAATAAACAGCTGATATAATGGACTAATTTTTGCCATCTCTACTCTGGCTGTAATTGAATTTTACTGTGCATCATCCTCTGATGAGAAAGCATTTTTAAAAATGAAATGTCAACTTCAGAAAAACAGCCTGTGGTTCAAAGCCATTCTGATCTTGCAGGCTGTGAGAGTGTTCTAGGAAAAGACACGTTTTCCCACCTCTGTTCATTGATAAGAGTCTGCTGTTGAGCACTGCAGGAGACAGGATATTGAGCTAGTTGGTGGATCTTTGGTCTGAGTCAATACAGCAGTTCTTGTTGTCTTTCCCCATAGCAACTAAATGAACCTTTGTAAAAGGTTTCAAACTGTATTTATAAATTATCTGATTGCTGTCAGTGATTCAGTGTGTACCTAAAGTCCTTGCCTTCAGTGAAGACACAAAACTCTGGCCATGAACAAGAGGAGATTTGAAATACAATTCCAATATATGGCATGTAAATCATTATTAGCAGTGTCAGAGTAGTGAGAAAACTTTCACTCGCACTTCTGATCAGTTTTGCAGCCTTTATGCACACAAGGAAACTTACTTGATAAGAATCAAAGCAGATCTCCAATACTGTGAATTAGAGAACCGTATTCATGCTGGTGTGATTCCTGCAGGTGGAGTGGGTGTCCAATTTACAGTATTTCCAGTGTGGAGTGAAAAAAATTGCCCATGGATTGTGCAACAAAGAATCCACATTGGAATAAAAGCAGAGCTTTTAGTTATGATATTTTGGAGGGTACAAGCCTTATAAATAAGGATGGAAGTGGCAAAAGTGGAGTCTAGGAGATATTATCAAAACTGTGGGTTTATGTCTGGTTTTTGTAGAAAATATGACCATTAGAGAGAAAGATTGTTTGATACTGAGTTTTCTTAATACTGGCTTCATATTGCTGCAATATTGACTTTGGTAAATCTTAGGATATATCAATACAGTACAGATCAGAACCAACTGTTGTGCTGTCATTTGTGGTGGTCCATTTATGAGAAAGTTGTGCCCAATAATGTTCTTCCTTCACAAGATGAGTGAAGATTAATGGAGGGTTTACAAAGTTCAAAATTTTAGATATAATGTAAAAAAATAATAGTATACAGATTGTGCAAGTATCAACGTTTTGAGTATCAATATATCAAGTATCAACTATCTCAATATCTAAGGAAGAAAGAAATAATGTCATGGCAGTCATTACAGAGAGACAGTGTTCATGGCATATTATAACTTTTTTCTTCACAAATATATACCCTGTTCTGTTCTTTGTTGTGACATGTTGGACGATTCAGTAAGAACAAAGAAGTAAGGATTACTTTATGGGTTTGGTAACATACCGAACATGTTTGGGGTTTTTTGAAAGCCCTTTCTTAATGTACTGCAAAATGTAAAAGCAATCTGTTCCTTACATTCATATATACATGCATTGCTATCAGTTGGGTAGGTTCATTTCCAATCCCATGAAAAGAATGATGGTTTTTTATTTGTGCTCCAGAACAATATAGATTATCTTCATGCTATTTTTTCTCTTGCTATCCCAGCTCAGCTGTGACTCAAGGAGTTTTATTTATTCTATTTAATTCACTTTAAGAGCCAAATAATAAGATTTGAAATGACTTAAACCTGGCTACTTCTGTGCTGGCATGTGGAGAAAATCACATATGCAGCTGGAAAAGTAAAGAGATAATCTGATAATCTCCCCAGTGGAGTCAAGCTTTTTCCTGTTTAGATGCTTTCCCCTATTTATTGCCAACTGTAAGATATGAAGACCCTGTGAACATATTCAGTGAAGCACAAAGCAGGGGGGAAGTTGTTCCCTGTGATGCCAAAGCCACCTGCAGCAGCTATTCCAGTTCCATTTGCATTACACAAATGAGCCAAGCCTGTATTTTAGAGACCAATGCTTCTTGACAGTGCTCAGGGCTTGTGTGTATTTCCCCAAGTGTTCCTAGGGTCTCCCAATTGTCCAAAGGGACATCAGACAGGGGCTGCAGACAGCAAGGAGTCTGGTTTCCCTGCTGTGGAGGGCAGCATCCACAGGCTGTGCCCCAGTCTGAGACACACCATACCCAGTAGGGAGTAAAGGTGCAAGGCACCCAAGCCTGGGAAATTGGTGCATTCCCAGATCTTCTCAGTGTATCTCTGAGAACCAAAAGCAAGTGAAAAAGGAGCCAAGCAACCAATGCAGCCGCCCACTCAGCCTGGAATTGGGTGATGGTGAAGGTCTTTTTTTTCCCTAATGGTAGATAACTAACTTTGTTGTTATTGCAGTTGTTGAGAATTGATGAATGTCAATTAAACACTTGTTTGGAAGGATTTATCAGGGACAAGATAAGATTTCTGGTCAAATCCAGAAAGGCAGTCCTTTTTTGTCTCACTGACTTGCCAGCAGCTCAGTGGCAGACTCATGGGTTGCTCATGCTTAGTGAGGCCCTTAACCTGTTAATTATCCCAGTCCTAGGTCTAATTCTACACCTTAACCTGCTGTTAATTTCTCTCTTTGTTTTTATTTCACAGAAAAAGGTAATATCTCTGTTTTAGTTTGATGGCAGAATCAAAACACATTCTGAAATCTTGAAATATATCGGGAATTAATTCTTATATTCCAGGGGCTTTGGGCAGGGGCCAGAGCACCAGGGATCACTGTCTATCTGATGGTAAGAGGCAGTAAAATATAGAATCCAGGCAGTTCATATTGGTCCTACAAGTTTTCAAGATGTTTGTGGTAAATTGTAGAACAATATAGTGGTAATATTGTTAAACTAGATGTAATTGCAAATTCTAACATTTTTCCTGTGTTTACATCATAATCACAGTTTAGCTTGAATCCATCTTCCTTTAAAATTGCCATATCTGGCATTAAAATTTTAAATTTTTTTCAGAGGAAGTGTGAGATAGGTGCGCATAAAACTTTTGTAACACTGTACGTTGACCATCATAGATTTTTTTAATTACACAATTTACAGACAAAACTTTAAGGACATCACTTAGCTGAAAAACAACACTTGCAATCACTTTTTTTTTTTTTCTTTTTCCAAGAGGCAAGAAAGCTAAATGAAGAAAGGAAAAAATCAGAAACTACAAGATGAGCTCAGACCGATTCATCCTGGATGATCGCTATCTATTTCCCTTTCTTTTCCTGGGAATTCATCTGAACACTAACTCTCACAATGATTGACTGATTTAGTGAAACCAGATAACATTTCACAGCAGCCCTCCTCCACTGTTTTGCTATTGAAAAAGCCAGACAGCTACAGGTGACTGTGGGCTTGTCAAAGTTTTTTAAAGACATGAAGATAACTATCTTTTAGGTGGTTCTTTCATTTCAAATGGAGAAACAGGTTCAGTAGCAATGAAACTCTGTATGTTCTCCTTACCACAGGACAGGTCTGTCAGACTACAAAATTTACATACTCTTTAGCTCTTAAGGATTTTCTTCACTTTCTCAAAGAACTAAAACCAGTAAGATGACAAGGCCCAGACTTCTATGTTGAAGACTTTACTCAGACAGAGCAAACTTGCAGTGCTTTCCTGAGCTGGTTATGGCCTAATCTAATCCTTAAATAGAAACTTCCTTATGGAACTTTAAGAAAGAAGAGTTTCTGCTGCCGGCTGCATGAGGGTTTAGGGCTCAATTTGACTACCCACTATATGGATAAAATCAGTGAAAGAGCAAAATGTAACCTTTTTTTATTTATCTTTGGATGATTTCCCGGTGTTGCTGGTCACTGAAAGGTTCTACATAGCCTTCTGTTCTAGCACTAAAAACAGACCATGCATTATTTCATGGGATTAGTATTTAATCAGCTCATTAATATCACATTTAATTTTTTCTTTTATCTATAGGAGCGGCAGGACCCAGCGTGCGGCCAGGCTGTCCCGGGCAGAGGTGGAGTCCATGAGAGATGTCCTGGCACACAACCTGTACCAAGTGCGACAGAGGGTGTGTGAGCACGGCTGCCGCGCTCTGTTTGCAGACCCGCAGCCCTTGTTTGCCCTCCCCGTGCGGCGGCCCCGGGGCACCCGCTGGGAGCCCGCAGCCGCCCGGGGAGGGCAAGCGGGGAGAACCCCGGCCTTAGGCACTGATCGGGATGGAATAAAGGAAAGCTGCGGGGTTTTTTTTGTTTTTTTTGTTTGTTTTTTTTTTTTTTTTTCCCAGCAGCTTTTCACCCTGACGGCAGCGCGAAAAGCCAGGAAAATCTGTGTCTGAGCTGTAGAGGTCAGGCTTCCCTCGCGGCACGGCAGTGTGGATGTGGATGGGAAGCCGCCTTCCCGAGGCTGCCCGGGCTCCCGGGAGGGCCGGGGCTGGCGCGGCTCCGGCAGCAGCGGGGGCGGCCCGGGCAAACACCGCGCTGCCCTGCGTGGGAGCGGCGGGTGCCCGCACCGCAGCAGGGAAAAAACACAAGGGAAAAATTCTCCACCTCGTCCGAGATTAATTTTACACATTTTTTTTTTTTTTTTTTTTTTCCCCTGTGAAAATGGTGTGATCATACCTCAGCGGAGATTTGTTTTGCAGAAATTCGGAGTGACCCTGATGCAGCCCAGGGTGTGGTATCTGTTTAATTCACTCTCGGGCACTGAACAGACAATTGAGAGCTTGCCCACAGCAATGAGTGGTAGAGGATACATAACAATAATACAATAACCTTGAAATTTTGCTGATAAACAAGGCTAAGTCATGTAACACACGTGTACTAGAAAATGCTAAGGCCTGCTCATTTAAATTTGGCATTATTAATATGTTATTCATTCCTAACTTTGTTTGATTTGCCATGGCTAATTATCCTTATGATATTAATTTCTTATCTTACCAGCAACAATTTGCATATATAGTTATCTCTCAGCTTACTGAAATGAATTCTCTCTCTTCAAAAATCAATTACAGTAATGACTATTTGTGCCAGTCATTTCCTATGTAGTATTGAGAATGGTGTGCTTTTGGAAATGAAAGATTGGAAAGAAAATAATGCCACTTCTAATACTTCTTTTCAGCTCTGAAATGCTTTTGCTTGCCAGACCAACTTTAAAAGGAGCCTTGCAAATGAAACTGAGATCAGATCCTACTTTTTAAGGGGGGCTTATAAACTTCAGTGAATTTTTCTCTTTAAGGCAGACAGTTATTTCCTTCATTTCACTAGATGTATATGATAAACTTAAAAGTTTGTCTTAAATGATGCTCAGTTTTAGGGTAATATTAATTTGTAGTTTGTCCAAGTATGGAAAGGAAACTCAGCTGTGCATCTCATTCTGGAGATATATTCTTTCTTCCTGAGTGCATCTGAAACTTGCTTCAGGGTCAGTGAAATTAGTACCAAAGTTCAGAGCTGAGTTAACCAGTTATCTCTTTCTTGGGACCTGCCTCATATCTGTAGCTCCCAGCTACAGTCGATGAGATGAGAAAAAAGATGACAAAGACAGGCCAAGCCCAGAGATGATAGCAGCCTCCTTAGGTAGGTATAGTTTATATACCTGCACTTTGAGCAGGCAAGAGTCGATCAAAAATGGCATCAAAATGCAGCCCCTGAAGTCTGAGACTTTCAGCTGTGTTCATGCTTCCTCCCATCTTGCTCTGCAGCAGTGAGACTTGTGCATGGCTGCATTTTGCCATGTGATACCAATGAGATCTGTGTTGGGTCCATGACCGAGCGGAGGCAGATGTCCCCTTGACCCTGTGATTGATCAGACTAATTAACATTGCAAATGCAACAAAAATAAGCTGGCTGCATTTTCTGTTTCAGGCACCAGCATACAACCGGCACAATCTTCCTACTAGCACAAGTGAGAAACAAGCACAGGAAATCCTCATCCGTCGGGAACACAGCCTGAGGCAAAGTTGCAGGAAGGGAAACAGCTTGCCGTGGGGTAGACCGGTACCTGTTATCCATCTACTTTTTATGTAAAAATGCCTCTGCTTCTCTGTGAATATGGAAATACACTAGTTTTAATGTGCTCTTTGATGTAATTAAAATGGGTATCTTCCTGGTGTGCTCATGCAGCACCTAAGAAGAAAGAGCTTCACTTAACATGTGAGCAGCAAAGTTTTCATGTCCAATCTCTATTCATTGGTCAGAAATCAGCTACTCTGGCTGGATGTAGTAAAATAATGTAATGTGCATGGATTTTGCATATGCAAAGTATAGTGTAATCAAAAAAAGCCTGATGCAAAGCCTGGCACATTGATGATTTGGGCTCTCAATCAAAATCAGAATCAAAATCAAATCAAAGTAAGAGATCTGTCTGCCCTAAGGTAGGCATTGAACAGCACAGACGTTTATTGCTGAGATAATCATAGTTAAGGAAGAAAAGTAAGTTCTTGTTGGATAGATTAGTTGTATTAAAAATTTTCACCTGAAAGAAGAAAGATAGCTCTTAGAAGAACATCTGGTGATGGTAAAAAACCCTTTGGCTATTATATCAGACAGATATTCTCACTAGAGCTGACATTGAGTTCAACCATCCAAACCAAGCATTGATCAATACCTCTCAAAATTTAGCTGTAAAGGTGCAGCATATTGCCATACTTCTTTCCTGTTTCACCAAGTAAGTGCCAGTGGAGGCAGTCACAAGCACTGGACACACTTCTCCTCCTTTAATCCTCACAGGTTAACACCACGGAAGTACGCTACCTCTCCTTGCCTCAGGGTCCATGCCAGCCCACTAGGAGAAAGGCCAGGCATGTTACTTTTACAGGTAATGAACATGCTTTACTCTGTGTCCTACTATGTATCCTACTCCAGCAGCTAAAGAAACTTGGCCAGTTGCTGGATGGATTTAAGAGTACTACATGCACAGCCCCATGGCAGTCCATGGCCTCTTTAAATGAGCTACACCCTTCTCTCCTTTCTGTTTTATCTGTGTTGTTTATATGATCATTACTGCAGCAGTTTCTGTTTTGTTCCAGCACCTCCTGCTTTTCTCTTTTTCCTCTTGAACAAATATTCCTGTGATCCCTGCAGTTCCACCTGGCCAAGCTCAAGAACACAAATTATCTGTTCCCTGGAGCCCCACAGACACAGCTGTAAGCAAAAATATTATGACCCACTGAACCTGTAGCCCAGTCCAGGTGAGACTGATGGAGCTCCATGCCCCCAGGTCCTGCAGGTACCAGGACTGAGCAGGCATTCTCAACAGGCAGCCCCACACCAAAATTCAGTTCAGACACAGAGAGCAGCACACACATGGCACAGGGCTCACACAAATACAAATAGCACTGATGGCCTCATCCTTATCCCCTCTCTGACTGATGAGGCTGACAGACTGTTAGTGAAAAATTATCCATACATACATGCTATCTGAATCTTCAGTAGCTGGCCTGAGATACCTGCTCTGCTCTGTAGCTGGCCCTGGACCTTCCATCTGCACATTTGGCAGCACTTGGACACGTAAGTCCCAGGGGACAAAGCCCCATAGCAGCTGCTGGCACACAGACCTGTGCACATGTACACAGAGACATGGTCTTACACTCCACCTCACATATTGTAGGACCCTCCAGTAGCTATCACTATTAAGCTATTGCTTCATAATTTAATAGTTATTACTTTTGTTAATTTTTGACACTGTGACCATAGCCAATATATGTGTACTTTAATTGTAGCAGGATTTGGACTAGTTTTACTGTTCATAGACCTTTGTGCTTTTGTCCCAGAACCTCTTAGCTTAGATTGTTCTGAGTTGTTTCTTACATTAACTACTTTGCTACTGTGTAGTTAGACTACAAGTAGCCTTAAGAAAAGTGAAAAAGCATGTTCTATAAACTCAGCAGGATGAGAATACCACTTCTTGGCCCATTGCAGGCAAATTTTTACAATGTACTTGTGGCAACGCAAGATGGTAGGAGCAGATCTGACACACCCAAAGTAATCAAAGCACCCCTGGTTTCAGATGAAACTGTTCTCTTCCCACTTGTTAGTCACAGGTCACTGGCAAACTTGATTTTTGATGGACCAGAATTTTCTCCTTTGTCACATTTTTGTTTTGTGCTGTGGGTTTAAAGCTGCTTTTTAGCCATGGTACTAGGTACACATGTGAAATTTGAAGAAAATTCAAATTACATAAAAGATATTCTTGCGTTTTACTCTTGCCCTTCACTTTTGCAGTGAAGGCACTGGGCAGGTCTGTGAGACACCAAAAGCCAGGTGAATGTGCTTATCTTCTGGGGTTTCAGAGCTGACATAAAGTAAATAAAATCTTTTAAGCATCAGCTTTAAGATGAAAATTAAAAATTAGGGCTATTTTTAGTTCTTGACTGCTCCTTATTCTATAGTAATTATTTTAAATGCTTCAGTTCGAGGGTATTTTATTGTATTGAATCCTCTTTATCTCTTCTTTCCATTACCATGGCATTTCTCCTTTCTCTTCTTAAATAAATGAATTATTTGTCTACTTTTCTTTAGATCATCATAGAAATGGCTCTGATGCTGCGTTCCCATTAACATCGAGACCCCAGCCCCGACTACGGCCGCTCGAAGCAAAGCGCCACCAAGAACTGATTCCAATGGCACGCTTGGAGAGACGGGCAGGCCCATACAATCTGTCAGGTCCAAGAGGAAATTCAATCAGCCGTCATCGTTTCACCAGAGCAGACAATCTAGCTCCGAAGCCAAAGGCTCGGTTCACTGTCAGAGAAGTAGAGGAGTATGAGTCAGAAGAAGAGACAGAAGCAATGGCACCAGCCAGGCCATTAGTTATATGAGGAGCAGAGAAGATCAGTGTTTGCATCTCTAGGCGCCCTGGTGCGCTGCTTCGAAAGAAACAACAGAGCTTTTATATGAACCAAACTGTGATTTTCCTCTGGGGACCAGTGTACTTGTATCACTTTCAAGAGTTGTGTTAATGTACTTAGTGGCTCAGAGAAGACTCGAATTCTTATGTGCTTATATCAAGCTTTCTTTCCAACAAAGCACTGCAGGAAAGAGGAGAACATGATATTTGTAGGGGTTTGGGTGTGGGTTTAAACAGCAGTAGTTGGGTGCATGCAATGCGATGGGTGGAAGCTGATGCTGCCCTTGTTTCATATTGTGGTCTTCATCCAGAGGATAGAAATGTATAAAGGCATCCCTGAAGTGTGAATGCACAGATTGATTACCTCAGCTTTTGATTTCAGAGTAGCTGCATTCTGGAAAAGAGTTAAAAACAAAAAGGCATTTTTTTAGGAAATGTAAGTGTCACTGAAGATGCCTAAGCAAGACCTTAAATCAAAAGGAGATTTTCAGCACTTGGGAACCTCTTGGTAACTCAGGTTTTGGCTCTGCAGAAATGCATAAAGTCATCTACTGTGATGATCCATGACTCCAGCTACTTAAATCCATTTCAGTGTGTAGGCTCCTATCACTCTCCTACAGTTGTTTTGGATGAATAAAGGATGTATCCATGTATGTACAAATTTAGGGGAGTTTTCAGGCAGGAGTGCTGTCAGGATTTTATTTGTAAGCATGGAATGGCAGGAACATAAACTATATTTTTGTGATTCAGCAAGGGGGAGGCTTCCTTGTAAAGTATCTGACTTCTCCCTTCCCCACTCCCACCTTGTGTGCCCAAATGCATGCACCATTTTTCACACTATAACTGGACCAGCAATGCAGTTAGGATGCAAGAAACTGGGATTAAAGGTAGAGAGAGCCTAACCGTGTAACCACCTGGCTAGCAGGAGAGACCCTGTGTTTGTCTCACAGCTTTTAGTAGTGTGTCTTCCTATATGTTGTACAGAGCAGCTTTTCCTTAAAAAAAGACAGAAATAACCAGAGAGATGTGCACTACAGCACTTGAGCACTTGACCTCCTAACCTTTCCAAGTGTCTCTGTGTGCCTATGCTCCACTCTCAATGGTGGATCTCCCTAGCAGCAGGAGAAGCAACAGTATGGTCTTTAGTAATTTTAGCTAAGTCCCAGACACCTACTTTCTCTGAATAAGTTTCTTTCTGCAGAATGGAGGCAGGACTGCCACTGTTTTCTGTGTCTTGGGGCTGTAGTTGAGCTGATTTTATCCAAAGGGGTGAATTGAGTCCAAAATCCATAAACCCACCCTTACAGCTGCAGTAAAATCAAACCTATGGTTAAGAAATGCACCAAGTTCAGTCATGTTTTGTCAAGTTTCCTTTCCTGTCTCCTCCACTCAGACCTTGCTTAGTTGCCCAACTCAAGGCCTGTAAATGCTATCTCAGTCAGAGAGAGATTCAAGAGTTAGAGAGAGCAGTGCTACCTGCATGTTTCTCTTTTTTATATTGCTGGTATTGCTTGTATGTCCTGGTCCATAAAAGAATTTATTTCTGTAGGTTATGATTTCCCATTTCTGACAAAGGGTTTCTGATTCAGGACAGGTAGAATCTAAACTAACAAACTTTAAAAGCACCACCAGAGGAAGCAAACCCTACAAGCCCTTTCCCCCATTTTCTTATGTTTGCAGCTTTTATGCTTTTTAGCAGGTTATATTGAATCATCTGTACAGAAATTGTCCAAAGCTTTATAAGACTTGAGTTCTGTTTGTATTTCCTTATTGTGCCAGAGAAATTATCTGACTTCCTTCTATGAAAACAGTGGTGCATTATTAAAACAGGGCAGGATTTTTCTTCTGTACCGATACTGAATTAGCAATGAAATATAGTTCTGTACCTGAAAATCAACAAATAAACCCAGCTCCACCAAAGGAGGAAGTGCTCCACAGAGTTTCTAAACAAAAGCCTTGTGCCAGATCTCAGTCCTACAGCAAGTTATATTGACATATCATAAATCTAAATTAAAACACGATATTAAGGGAAAGACTTGTCACACAAACTCAGGTCTTAAATTGCACTGTGAGCCACATGGCTGCCACATGATATTTAATTGAAGGCAAAATTAGCACCCATATGATGTGGTCTTAGGCCACAGAGGTGCATGGAGTAGGGCAACAGAGGTGTGAAACCTGCTTGTGCAGGGTTGTGGGGGATTAGGATCTCTGAAACTGGCTGGTGGGTGATATGAGCTGCTGGCAACCCTTGGGGACAGAGAGAATGTGGAAATCTGAAAGGAAGGTGAAGGAGGGATAGTGCCTCATCTTCCAAGGGAGGCTCATGAGAGACAGCTTTAATGGAGGAATTACTGTGAGCTGCAAATTCAGCATTTCAACTTTAAGAAGATTTAATCAATGAATTGTCTGGGGGAACTGGACAAACTCTGTGAGACAAGGATTAATGGGATATCAGGAATGGCATGGGAAGGGACTAGACATGCATCATGAAAAACAGGAGTCTCTGCATTTTGGCCAGTCTATGTTTGACAGATATGCTCAAAAATGACTCCTAAACTCCTTAAATATTGTAGAAGTTGTAGAGCATTGTATAATTACCTATTAGAAGTAGAGAGCAAAACATTCAGTTTCCAATTATGGGTTTATATTAGGACTAGAGAAAAATTATAAAATACTAAAAGAATTAGTGCATAGATGGAGTCAAATTTCCCTCCTTTGCTTCATTCCTATTCTTATTGATGAAATCAGTGACCCAGAACTTCGGAGAGTGCAAAGCTGTAGAGCAGCTATAAGTTAATAGAGTGCTCTCAGATTTTGCAGTCTTGCTCCTAAACCTGTGAAGTCTATTTTTAGTTTTCTTTCCTAGCAATTACTAAATAGTACTGGAAGAAAATTTCCTTCTGTGCCATTAGTTGCTGTTAATGGCTTTGCTGGCCATCAGCCAAGAAGCAATGCTGCAGATGCCTATATAAAATATGTTCCAAAATACAATGTTGCACGTTTTTTTTTTTATAATTATTTCTTACTTTTGGATAAAAAAAGTTCCCCTGAAAGAAGCACATTACTTATATTTTACATAGAAATAACTACAGCAATATCTTATTACAAGTAACTTAATCCATATCTATAGGGTTTCAGGCCTCACCATAAAGAAAGCTAGAAGGGTTTAGGGCATGAATTTAAATCCAGTGTGTGGGCATTCTTAAACTCTTTAACCTGGGTCACATCCAGGAACCTTGTGCTGATAATTTACAAAGGTAAGTTAATTCAAGACCTTTTTTTTTTTTTTTGGCTGGTACAGTGCTATTTACACAGGAATTTAAATTCCATGCTGATTTAAGGTGAACTGGCCTAGGAAAGTCATGCCCAGAAGGTGAAGAATATTATTCAAAATCGATAGAGGAAATAAGAGCAGGAGGATAGAGCAGGACAGGTGAGTTTTGGGAAGGAATAATAATGAATAGCCTTTATCTTTCACAGTAGAGAAAATAGGAGATACACCATGGTGCGGTTTAAGCCCAGCTTGCAACTCAGCCCCATGCAGTCACTCATCCACTCCCCCGCAGTGGGATGGGGGAGAGAACTGGAGGAAAACCTTGTGGGTTGAGATAAAGACAGTTTAATAAGTAAACAAAAGTCGCACACACTAGCAAAACGAAACAAGAAATTTATTCACCACTTCCAACGGACAGGCAGGGGTTCAGACATCTCCAGGAAAACCAGGCTCCCATACACATAACAGTGAGTTGTGAAGGCAAACTCCATCACTCTGACTGTTCTCCCCTTCCTTCCTATTTCCCCAACTTTTACTGCCGAGCATGACACAGCACAGTGTGGGATATCCCTTTAGTCAGTTGGTCAGCAGTCCTGTCTTGGCATCCCCAGCCTCTTCATTGGTGGGGTGAGAGGCAGAACAGGTCTGTGTTCTGTGTACACAGAACTCTGTGCAAGCACAGCTCAGCAATAACAAAAACATCCTGGTATCAACCCTGTTTCCAGCACAAATTCAAAATAGAGGCCCCTATGATCTACTATGAGGAAAATTATCCCAGCTTAAACCAGCTTGCACCTGAACAGAACTTGTTAATCAGTGAGAAAAATAAGACAAGTACAGTCATAATGAGAACATATTTTAGTTGTAAAAGCTACAACGGTCAAAGATTATTGCAGAAAAAGGGAGGGATTTATTGAGGTCAGTAATAAGTTGTGAGCAGCTGGCATTACTTTCATATTTATTGCACAGTGTAATTGAGTGTTAGATCTTGTTGCTCTTGCTGCAGCTCTTGCTTTTCAATTAATACCCCTGATGAGTAAGAATGTGTAGTAAAAGAAGAATCTCTCCCTTAGAGAACTTAACAAGAAGGATGCAGCAGCAAGGGGAGTGGCAGCAATCAGGACAAGAAGGCAGCCTGTGCAGGGAGCATCCAAGTTGTGACCTTCAGAAATGCAAGTTCACAGTGTGCACAGAAGGAGGCATTGCTGTGGTCTCTCCTCAAGGGACAACGGTGCCCATCCCTGAACAGTCAGGGCTGCTGCCATCTGTACAGCAGCCACGGGGAAAGCTGCTGGTTACAGGATAATGCCAGCAAGCAGGATAGGGAGGACCTGTGAAAGACCCAAAAGAGTTTCTGGGTCACACTAGGGAAAGACACTGGCAAAGGATGCAGAACCAGGGGCTGGGGGAGGCAACTCCCCTTGTAAAACTCCAGTGAATGGAACTGGCACGTGTCTATGGAAGGCAGAGAGGAGAAGCTGCAACAGATGGAAAAGAGCAAATGTCCCGGTGGGAGTTCTGGGCAGACTGATTTAGTGCTGTGCCTGCCCCAAGGAAGCACACCGGCTCAAGTGACAAAAGTTCAGATGCGTTCAGAGCAGGAAAGGGAAGTTACATGAGGTTCAGGAAAGTAGGTCAGAGTTTCAGGCGATCATGTTTAATGTGAGAAGGATAATATTTATGAGAGAGGTGGTCAGAGA